TCATGGTTGTAGAGCCTAACAAGTCTAAGATGAAGACACTGGCTAATTTAGTTCTTAGTAAGAGTCCTCTTCTTGGTTCAAAGATAGCTGCCTTCTTGTTGTGCCTTCTCATGGTAGACTCAGACAGTGGGCTCTCATCTCTCTTCTTCTCATCATGAGGTCCTCACCCCCATGACTTCATCTAAAACAAATCTTCTCTAAATCCCCCACCTCTAAATACCATGACTTCGGGGTGTAGGGTTTCAACATATGAACTCTAGGGGGAGGAGAACATCATTCCACAGCATGCTCTGCTGTCTCACTAGGCTTTGCTTACAAAACACAAATTCAGAGATAAAATTAAGAATTTGAAGATAGTAACTACAGAGCATTGAATCCTAAGCTTAAAGCGCCTTACTGAGCATGGTCCCAATAAACTACAGTAGTTCCAGAACCATGAAGTTGTTCAAGCTAATAAGGATGATCCAGTAGATTGGGGAAATTGAGGATAAAGGGAGAAAACAACTCAGGAATAAAGAATGTGGGTATATGAGAAAAGATGGAGTCCTACATATTAGTAGAGTGTTTAAGCTCAAATAAGAGTAGGAATCCTTTATTCCCTGTAATAGGAGAGGTGGCAGGTTATACCTGTATATATATTGGTAAATTGTTTTATGTGGTTATAATATCAGATATCAATTCTCTTGTTTTCTCACTGGCATAAGAAGAGCATCAGTATTCCAAAAAGGAGAAAGAAGGGAAGAACTAGAAAGAAAATAGAGAGCAAAACATATAGGACTGAAAAGAAGGTCTGGGACATTCATCTAGGAATGTTTTCGGAGTGGGCCAACATGCTAGGGTTTGTAGGATCCCAATAAGGGAGTTAGCATCAATGTAGGGTGACACTAATCAGTCTTTAGCCAAATTCAGCAACCTAGGAACAGCTGCAGAGTAGGCAATGACTTGCATTAAAATATGTTGCATTTTGTCAAGTGATTGTCATGAAGGAAAACAGGAGAAAGAGTACTGAAGGTACATGAAAAGGACTATAGTGACAAACTTTGGTGTGTGCCACCTGGTGGCAGTTCTCGGTTTTAGTTTAGATTGTCAGGTTTTGTTCTGGCCTCTGGCTTGCACATTTAAAAGCAGCAGTAAGCCCAGGAATATTTCTGTTAGTTGGCACTAATTTTAGCGCCTTTTCTGGAATTTAAGTTAGGATTGAGGGACACACCTCTGCCTCCTAGTTTTTCCAAAAAATAGTTGTCTGCTATTTCTTCACCTGGCTTTACTTTCTCCCTTCCATCCTCCATCCCACAGGAGGTAAATAATTCCTATATATTTAAGAATGGATATTAAGGGGAAGGATGGAGCCAACAGTCAATGAGGTAATATCTAAATTCTAGTACTTGAAATATTTTTTATTCCAAGGCAATATTATATTTTATGTCATGAAGCTGGTAAAGATGGAAAAGAAAGTGAATATTGATTAAAAAACAAGAGTTCCAAGAACTGAAATTTGGAGCACCCCAAAATTCACAGGTTCTCCTTCCCTGCTTCAGCTGCCTGCTCCCCGGTGACAACCTAGCCATCCTGCCGGCGCCACACCAAGTGATGAGGAATCATCCAGAACCACATACCAAGCATATAATAATAGAGAGCTGGGCAGAGAGGCACATGTCTGTAATCCTGGCAGAGAGAAGCTGATGCAAAGCAATTTCAAGCTCAAGTCCTGCCAGAGCAACTTAGTAAGACCCTCTCTCAAATTAAAAATATAAATAAATAAAAAGGTCTGAGAATGTAGCTCTGCAGCAAAACACCGGTGGGTTTGAGCCCTACTACCTGAGGGAGAAAAAATAATAAAGTTTAAAAAGTAACAAAACTTCCTTTATTCTTTAATATTTGTTATTATAACTTTTTTTTTTTTTTTTTTTTTGGTACTGGGGATTGAACTCGGGACTTTGCGCTTGCGAGGCAGGCACCGGAACCACTGAGCTAAATCCCCGGCCCTATTATAACATTTTTTAAAAGTATGCAAGTGGCTGCAGGCCGAAGTTGGACACACCTGAGTATACACCTTGCTGTATTGTAACTGTACTTCCTCTGCTTCACTAAAAGCCTCTGTCTTTTACAGTCATTCTTCCCAATGTTCTATTTCCATTAATTTCTCAAATTCAGTAGGCATGCCAAGGTATTGGACTTCACCACCTAACATGTTCACTTCCCAAAAAGTGAGAACAAGAAACAGTCTATACATACATACATTTATATATAGTTATATTTCCTCTCTCTCTGCTGATACTTGTTTCCTATTTTACTGAAATAGAAACAATCAGAAAAGCTTGAAGTTCTTCTTCCAGTGCACCTACCAACCTATGGGCATCTTAACTCATATACTCTTACTTTCTTGCCATTATGAGGATCTTTTCCCCAGGAATACATGCATACATATAAACTTTTGCATTTGACTCCAAAGGAGTCTCAGATTCACATTAAGTTTATTAAAGAACTCTGAGATAAAAACCAATAACGTGAAGAACCAAAGATGTCATGTTCTTTTATTTCCATGGATTGGGGGACACTAGCAAGATGTTTGAATTATTTCACGTAAAAAAGTATTAAAAGTTTAATTGTATAGTGTTGAATGATAAAACAATTATTGAGAGATGATCCCACTTTTACCATGGCAAAATTTAGATAAAGGATTATTTGCCATGATGCCAAATATCACTTCAAAGATTATTTTTTACTGGCAAAGGGAAAAATAAACTTTTACCATAGAAAGAACTGTCATAAGCTAAATTAAATGACCAAACATCAATAGTGAAACAAACCTGATGTTAAATATCTCCTAATGTGATGGAGTATGAATTGCACAATACGATATATGAAGTATTCTTGCCAAATACATTTAATCTTAAGAAGTATTCATTCCTCTATAACTTGCAGTATTGAGAAAATACAGAATCTAGGGGCAGAGTTCAGATTAAGCGCATTCTTCAGGATAATTGGATAGCTCTCTTAAAGGAAAAAATTGTGTAGTGCTGTAGAGAAATGGATTAGATTAAGAGTTTTATATTAAAAGAGATCAAAGAAAGTTAAAACCTAACTTTGATGCACAATGATTCCTAGGATCATGTTGCAAAAACAAACTTCATACAAAAGGTATTTTGTCAAGAGTTGGAGAAATCTAAATATTGACTGGGTATTGAAGGACAGTAGGTGGGGTTAGAGACCCAAAGGCAGGGAGAGATGAGGGACCAGAGGACTCCATCTCCACCCCCACCCCTGCTGAAGGAGTTCAGATAGCTGGCAGAACAGGCTTAACCGTCTGTGAAAAGCTGAGTCTTCGGTTGCACCTCCTCTTCACTCAGTACCCTGTAAAGCTTGGTTTGCTAAGATCAAAAAGAAAAAGAACCTTGGCCCTAAGATGTAAAAATCCCCTGAAAAGACCCTTTCCTGTTGTCCCTAGTAAGGAGCTAAGTTACTCATTAACCAATCAAGTAGGGGTGCCCTCAGCCCAGAGGAAGGATAGGCCCCAACTACTATAAAACCAGCATTTTGAGCCTCCCTTCAAGGGTAGCTTGTTTCAGGCACACCTGTCTGTCTCTCTGAGAGAAGGCAGCTGTATATTCTTGCATGCTTGGTGAATAACAGTACAACTTTGCTTCTACGCTTTCGGTCTCTTATTTGAGTCTTCCACAACCTTCTGCTTGTTGGGAGAGTCAGGCCCAGGACTGCAGGGACTCTCCACCCACGATAAGTAGAGAACTATGTCAAAGGTGTGTGGAAGTACATGTAGGACAATGTCCTATGGGAGATACTTGTATATAGAGATGGAGTGGCTTGTGCAGACTTTTCAATTCTGATGAAACAAAAGCTGCACACATGTATGTATATACATAAATACAAAATAAAGCAAATATGACTAAGTATTTGAATCCATGTGATGGCATGTGTGATTTTTTTATTATCTTTTCTGAGTTTAAAATATTCAGAAAAATAAGTCGGAAAAAATAATTGTGCTTCCCAGCCACCTCTGAGAGTCCATTTTGTGTTTTATTTATCTCTGTAAAGATTTCGTGTGACCCTAGGACAAAACGCAGTTCTCCATTCCAAATTTCCCTGATATGTTAAATTTAGCACTTAACATTCTGCCTTGTACCCAGCTTGGGGAACACATTGTAAATTCCTAGGTGACAAAGTGAGGGAGTACAATCATAGGATAGAGAAAATTCAACTGCTAAATTAGAATGAGTTTATGGGTGGGCTTTATTAGACAAAAAGAGAATGTTAGGCTAAAACAAAATGATTTAAGGGCAAAGCGACAAAAGCCTCCAGCAGAATGGCAGCAATGAAAGTTCAAAGTCCTGGGAAGATGGGTGAAATGTTCAGTTTACAGTCCTGGCTTTCCTCTGGGCTTCTGGTAACTTCCATAATTAGTATGAAACCCAACCTGTAAGAAGCCAAACCCGGGCAGCTTTCCGATGCACCAGTTTTATAGTACCCCAACTGCCATCTCTGGATCTAATGGGACTACAAAGTGACTTTGAAGTAGAATTCTTCAGAAACAAATTTGCTTCCAACATTCATTAAGTGAGCCAGGAGTTTTGTACAGCCTCACCTTTCACCCTGATTTTCAGTAACAAGCTCGACATCCATGTTACCCACGACATACATGTGTGGGTAACACATCGTCTTAGAAATATTCACGAAGGTCAAATTTCTCTCAGCAACTAAACTGCATTTGTTTACATTTTTCTGACGCAGACATCCCTTTGGTTTTAGCTCAGGTTTGCCAGTAGAGTGTATTTGGAATCCTCAGAGTAGAAAGTTCAGCATGACAGCTCTCAAGGTAAAGGTCACGGTGGACCGCGGGGCGGCGGGGCCCTGGGCTCCGGTCCAGGACGCAGGGAAGAGAGGCATCTCTAGCGCAGCGCCCGGCTCCCGAAGTCGACCGCGGGCGCAGACAGTCCTCACTGAGCATGCGTCGGGATGAGCCGAGCAAGCCCCGCCCCTGATCCCGCCCCTCCTCCTGGTCACGCCCACAACCCGGCGGGTGGGGCCCTTGGTTCCCAGCTCGAGGAGTCTTCTCGGGAGTACGCAGCTTGGCGTCTGAGCGGCACGAGCAAGAGTTAGCATGGCAGCGGTGCTCAGGAGAAGCTGCGGGGTGAGGATCCAGGGCCGTGGTGGGGCTGGGGCGCGGATGTGGTGGTGTCGGAGGGCGGGGCCCCGCCAGGCGCTTGGTCCGTGCGCCCGGAGTCCTCGCATCCCGGCCCCGAGGGTCCTCGGCGTCCCCCGCGGGCCGCGTCCCCCAGCCGACTCTCGGTTCTGCCTCGGGATCCCTCCAAACCCGGCCTGGCCCATCCTTGTCCAGGATCCCAGTTGGGCTGTCAGAACTTGGAGCAGACTCCCACCGCCCCGCCCCCCCCCCCCCCCCCCCCCGCGCGTTAGAAGGGAGTCTGCGTGCCGGGTGTGGGAAGGCGAATAGCGGCCCGCCCAATCAGGAAAGGGAAAGAAAGCTGAGCTGCCTCTTGGGGTGCTTAATAGATTTAGTGCGCCTTTGGCTTCGTGAGGAGGAGGAGCACCGTTCCAGGTGCATAAGTTAGAACCAAGTCAAAGAAAAGCCCAACTGCAGAACTTTCCATGAAACTTGCCTGTATATTCTAGGATTATCTTAGATTCTAAATGCCTTTGATATCTTAAATACTAATGATATACTCCCAAGATTGCCATTTAAATGACACCTAAAAACTGAATTAAGGTTGTCCTTGACCAACCCCAAAGACCTGCAATTTTAGAATTTACAATGAGTGTATCATTGCCTAGTTTTTGAAATTGCTATGCAAGTTAGTGGACTCTGAAGGTAGAAACGAAGGGATCTTTAAAATTATTTTTAACTCTGACATCAGAAAAAAGATTTCTCTGTCTCCAAGGAAGGGTCTAGAAAAACTTAATCATAAAGCTTATGTCCCTGTATTTCTTCTTTGATACTCCTATAAAAACACTGAAATTTCTAATAAAACCATGGGAGTATTTTGTTATAGTTGGTGCTACTGTTGCAGAATTGGTACTCGATTAAAATTGCTGTCTTTTGGATATTTTGCAATTCTGTTGTTCTGGACAAAGAGCCTGAAATAATAAAATTGATACTTTATGACATCGAATTATTATGTATTGCAAACATACCCTAATAAAAAATTTTAAAAAGAAAACAAAAAACAGTCTTACTCCTATCATCCTTAATCAGTTAGTAATAGAAGCTAGAAGTTTGTAACCTGTCCTCAAACTCAGCAATTCCAGGGGGAAATTTTATGTAATTTCTTGGTTCTGCTCTAAGCTCCGCTCTAAATGATTGACATTATTATGTAGCTAACAGGTCAGTGGGCAGTGATTTCTGGCAGTCTTTGCACTTTTGTTTTATATAACGTGTTTTCTGGAAAAATCAGAATGTAAATGGGCTTTTTATAAATTACTTGAGATTCATTGAATAATTTCTTATTTAAAATCTCTCAGCGGACCATTTTACCTGTTTTGTGAGGAATGACTTTCGTGCAGTGGCTTTTAAACACATTTATATTAGAGTCACGTTATTCCGTGTGGTTTTTGTGGAGTATTTTTCTTCCTTGTGGAACTGAATGACCAGTTAGGAGACTGACTGAAAGAGCAGTATAGCAAGGTGGCTGATAGCATAGGCTCTTGATAGTAAATGTGAGAAATTAGAACCTTGATTCTAGTACCTAAGACCAAAGTGACCTTGACTGATTTACTTGACCTTTGTGAACCTCAGCTTCTTCCTGTGTAAGATAAGAATAAAAATAGTGCCTTAATCCTAGGCTTGACCTGGGATTGGTTGGACTGATGCATGTGAGGACTGTGAAGAATTGGTTTGTCCTGTGACGACTGGACAGTGAGGACCAGAGAGGCACGTTTTACTCCCAAAATAAAGTTAATAAAAATTGCAAAGAATGTGTTTTTATACAGTGTAATCATTATTTTGGAATTATACTTTGAGGTATGTTATTTTAAAAGGGCTATTTAAAGTACATATTCAACAGTGTAATTGTATTATTACTTTAAAAATAGGCAGTTCTCTATATCAGTTGAATTGTCATTTACAAAGTGGACAGTTTATTTTTACATATTTGAGAGACAAATTTGGTTCTAGAAACTATTATATTATTCACCTTACAGTTCCATCAAAACCCTTTAAAATGTACATTGTGTGATTTTGGCTGTCTTCAAGCCTTTGCTGGGGAGCACCTTTGTGGTTTTCAGTTTAACTTTAATGGACCAAAATGTATAATAGATATTGGGAAATGGGAAGAAAATGTTCAAATGAGAAAGGGAACAAGAGAGGGGGGAGGAGGAAAAGAAAGAAGGGATGAGAAAAAAAGAATGGAAGGGAAAAAATGGAAACAAGGCTTTTGTAGATAAAGAGGGGAGGGGAATGGGGGAAAAAAAGCCAGATATGTCATGTACAGGTACAAATTCCCTGTGATGAATATCATCATGTCTATCTAAAATGTACCAGTAAAATAAAAAGTAAAAAAAACCAACCTTAGTAAGTGCTACTCATTCCTTTCGTGTCCATTAAGCTGTCATTAATATAAAAATGGGTTACAAAGGAATACTATTTGGGTATCTGTTTGTAGTTTTAATATATCACATGATATAGTTGATATAGTTGGCAAACTTATTTTTGAACCCTGTGGTCTCTGGAAACACATAGCTTCACTGTGACAGCAGCAACAGATAATACGGTGTTGCTGTGTTCCAATAAAGATGTATTTTTAATAAAACCGGTGACTGCCTTAGTTTGCTGGCTCCTGGTTTAGAACATTGTAAGAATGCCTATGGAGAACAGCAGAGGTAAAGCATGGTTTATACTAAGTTGTTTTGTTAGATAGAGTATCTTAGAAAAAATACTAAATGCTACCCATTTTGTTAGCTATGTAGCTTAGAAAATGAGATCCTCCAAAGGGAAGTTTCTCGGAGCCACACCTGGAGGATCATACAGACAGGGACACAGAGGGATGGGCTCTGGCACAGCTCCTTCTGTTGTTCTCCTTACACCACTTTCTCAGTCACTAATGTCGTAGGAGGTTGTTGCTGAAATTTCCAGAATAGTAATCCTAAGTATTACCAGCCTGGAACGTCTACTGCAGTAGTGCAAAAACAACCAACTAGTTTTATTTTCCTTACTTTTTTTAAACATCCTGTATGATATTCATATTGGCCTATTTAGGATGATGTAGATGTTCACATTGGCTTATTTAAATGTATAATTGAAGGTATTTAATAATGACTTTAACAGGGCTTTGTGTAGGATTAAACAAGTTGCTATACTTAGTTATACTCATCAGGATTCTCTTAATATGATTGATACTTAATTTATCATATTTTAAATTGTTTTTTACAGGTCCTAAGAAGTATTTCTCATTTTGAGTGGAGATCACAACATACAGAAGCTGCTCACCAACGTGAACCAGGATTAGGATTTAGTTTTGGTATATGTTCTGTTCTGTCTTTTGTCTTTAAAATATATCTTTCTGGAGTGTGTTTGTAAACTTGATAATGACTGTCAGTGAGTAGAACCAGTTACCATCCACAGATGGTCCACAGTTGTACTCTTCTTCCTGATCTCATTTTCTGCTGCAGCATAGCACCATATACATTGGATGTGTTGGCACCATACATACATAATATTCCTTCCCTTTTTCTTAAGTGCATAGCTCAAAATATCTGACCAATTTGCTGATATATCTAAATAGTTTTTAATGTACACATTTGAATGCAACAAATACATGCAGTGCTAGGTAACTGCTAATACATCAAAGCCTGTTTTGGCAATTTTTTTGAATTGAAGTTTGGTGACGTGTTAGGTGAAGTTCTCAGACCTGGGACTAGGGAGCAATGGGGTGTCAGAGAGAAAAGGAATAAGATTTTCCTTTCCTTTTTTAAAATGAAAACCCTAGGCAAAAAACGTGAAATAATAATTTCCTATCTTTGGTATCTTTTTCTCTGTGTCCTAAAAGGGCTTCTTGACTCAAAATTTTTACCTTTCCTCTAGTTGAACATTGTGTTCTCAGTTCCCTTGGTCTCAGAAAATGGATAAAGGGAGCTAAAAGAATTAACTCACAGCCAGGTGTAATTGACAGTCTCAAAGCTCCCTAGGGTTATTGTTTTTTGTTCAAGATTTTTTTTTCCTTCCTTATAAAGTATTTTTGCCTGAACTAAATGAAAAAATTTTAAACAGGATGAGGATAGCAGTTTGGTTCAGTGAGTCTTCTTGAGATACTAGCATTGATTTGGTATGATTGCTATCTAGTTTCAGCTTGTTGCATAGATACTCAGTAGTGAGACTAGCAGAAGAAATCTATGATAGCTTGCTGAGTGACAGAATAAAATAGAAGTACTTGGGAGGAAGATTGTGAAACTCAAGGAATGTAATATAGATAACACTTACGACCAGTTGATCTGGTTTTTTATAAACAGATGATAATGTCTGTAACAGGATTTCTTTGAAAATTAAGTTACATGCTGGTTGTGAAGTCCCCTAGCATATAGTGACTGGATCAAGGTAGTTTCTAAAGAAAATATACATGATGGATCCTAGTGTTTACAACTGTTTATCCACCCACAACCTTGATAAGGACTGGCCTTGATCTTAGAAGTAAAGTGGATCTTAGAAGTAAAGTCCTCTTGTAGAAACAAAACACTAATGCTAATTCATTGTAAGACTAAGAGGCTGTCATTTCCTCCCTCCTTATATTAGTTTCCTTATCTATAAAATGAAAGATTTGATCTTCTGTTCTTTAATTCAGCATCAAAGCTTTATTGTCTTTACATTCTATCTCTCCTGTCCCCATACAAATGATTACCATAATCTTAAACATTCTTGCTTTTTCTTCTGTGCTTTTCTGTCCTTGCCTGAAAAAACCCTAAACCTGTTTTATCTTATCTATCTTTTAATGTTGGATACTACCACATTAAAATACCAGATAGTGTGGATTTGAAAAAATGCAGTTAGTGGTTGATTCTTTGGTCCAGCCATCACAGACATTTTATTAATTTTACAATAACAAGTCTTTATTTTATATAAATGAATTGTTTGGACACATATTACTAGCAATGCAGCAGAGTTTTATATTAGTATCTGAGAAATTTTCCACATTTACAAGTTTCTTTAAACTTGAACAAGTTTAAAGATACAAATTAGCATAAAGGAATAAAATTGAAATTATGTATTGCTAATTCTTAAGCGATTGCTTGAAGGAAGTTATCTTGCTTTTTTGTCACAGAGTGTGTCACATTTCCTTAGACTCTTGTGATTGGGGCATGTCATATATTAGTTTCATTTCAGCATTAGTAAACACTTGATAAATCTGCTTGGGAACTAGAAATAAATAAAAATCATGTGTGTATTTTACGTCATTGGTTAAAAAGAAAAACTTTGAGTTTGTAGCTATTACTTGTTTGTAGATAGTAGAAAGCTTATTTCCTTCAGCATTATCATTGACAGGTTTACTTATACAGTGAAATTTTGATCAGTCACAAATTGCATTGTAGTCTTTCACTTTCTAGTTAATCACAGGTTAATGTTCACATTATAAATCATTTCATTGTCCTAGTTTAATGTTTGCTAAATAACTTTTCCTTAGAGTTAACCAAACAGCAGAAAGAATTTCAAGCTACTGCTCGTAAATTTGCCAGGGAAGAAGTAATCCCAGTTGCTGCAAAATATGATAAAACTGGTGAAGTAAGTATACACATTTTTAAGGAGAAAGACATCTTAAATTGTTTAGAAGATCATATAATCAAACTTTAAATATTAAATACACTATATCTCTGTTCTTTTCTTTTAGTATCCTGTGCCCCTAGTTAAGAGAGCCTGGGAGCTTGGTTTAATGAATACACACATTCCAGAGAGTTGTGGTAAACTTTCTTCACATTTTTAGTCCCACAATGGATATTAAAAAGAAAAGTGTGAAATTTCATTCACTCTTTTAAACATTCGTTGACATTAACTGGCTTGCTTTCTATTTTTCCCTGCTCAGACTACAATATTTGCCTGCTTTTAAATGCCTGTACTCAAAACTTAATCACTTTTTCCTCTTTTTAACTGGTTCCAACCTTCATTTGATCCTAACTTTGGTAACTTCTTGACTATAATTGGTCAGTTGGTTGCATTTCATTTTATTATTTTTTCTCAATAATTTGTTGCATTTTAATCCTACCTTGAGACTATTTTTGCATGTGAGACTGTCTCTCCATCAAATCAGTGTGTCAAAGCTTTAGGGGAATTGAAGCAAGTTTTTACAAAATCATGTGTAAACAATATAGTCCAGATTACAAGTAAATATTTTTGAAAATTTTAAAACTTATTTTAGAAGAGTATAACTTAGTGTTACTGCCAGCCAGAATAGTTACCTATATTATATTTGTACATTTGCTTTTTAAACAAGTCTGACCACATTGGCAGTAACTAAAACAGCTCCCCTTTATTTGGATTGAGATTCACTGGATATAATCGGCTTTTGAAACATTTTGGTACTATAGGAGGTCTTGGACTTGGAACTTTTGATGCGTGTTTAATTACTGAAGAATTGGCTTATGGATGTACAGGGTTTCAGACTGCTGTTGAAGCAAATTCTTTGGGGGTAAGTTACTTACAAAATCAGGTCCCCAACCAAACTGTTCACGAGACACTCAGAGCTAAGTTCCATGAATTGACAAAACAGTTTAAAAAGAAGAAAAAGAACACGAGCTTCAGCCGTGGAGTCTGGAGTTGTGAGTCCAAGGCTTGCTCACCCTCGTGCTGGTCTTGCAGCACCCAGATCCCTCACTGCCCCTGTGGGAACTGTATACTTTGCATGTAACTGCTGTGGGAATACTTTGGCAAGGACAAGGCTTAAAGCCAGCACTTGGGAGCTGATCCAGTTGGCTGGCTACCATTGCTGGCAGTGCTGAAACTTAGTGAGCCGTTCTGAGGAGGCTTGATCCGGAGCACCGCGTCACATATCTTAAATTTAAAGCTTTATTTGAGCATTTTACAGTTGTAAACTTTTATGTGTTCTATCACCAACAAGTCCTCCATATAATTTAATGTTATACATATCCTGAGATTAGCAGATGTATTTCCTCATGGTTTTAGCTTTTTTAACTTAGAGGCAAAATAAATGGCAGTTCTTTGAACTTACCCTTGGGGAAGGTAGTTCTTTTGATTTGAATTGTACTGTCTGAATTTGCATATGTAATAAAAATAATCTTGATCTTTTAATGTCAATTTTTGTTAGCAAATGCCTGTTATTATTGCTGGAAATGATCAACAACAAAAGAAGTATTTGAGAAGGATGACTGAGGAACCAATGATGTGTGTGAGTATGTATAACTGCTGTTGTGTTTCACATTTCACCATTTTTTTTTTTTTTTTTTATGGTACTGAGGATCAACACAGGGCCTCAGCCTTTTATTTTCTTTTGAGATAGGATCTCACTAAGTTTCCTACATTGGCCTTGGATCTACAATCCTCCTACCTCACTCAGTCTTCCAGGTAGCTGGGATTATGGGTATTCACTGCTATGTCTGGCCCACATTTTACATTTTAGAAGGGTTAAGAAGGTACTGTTTCTCCTTTTCAATTTGTATTTATATATTGAACTATCTGACATAAAGACAAATGTTAGTGCCATATTTAGGTACAGTGATGTCTCTGGAATTTGAAGAAAGGGTCATCATAATTCCCTTGCTTTTTTTCATACAAGGAAACACTTACTTCATGTTCCTGGGATGCCAAAAAGTGTCACAATAATCCCTTTGCTTTTAGGAGAGTTGTATCTACTTTATGGAGCAATATCTACCTAATTTTGCAATTCAAGAACTGGGTGGTTCGTCTGAAAAACCACTTCTGAAGGAATTGAGATTGAATGTAGGACACTTAAGTGTTTGAACCAAGTAGTCTTTTAAATTAGTATGAGAATAATGTGAACATGTGATTCAAGAAATAGTAGCATTGAAAGCAAGTCAATGAATTCTTTTTTTCTTCTTTTTCTTTTGGTGGTACTGGGGATTGAACCCAAGGCCTTCAGACTCAGCTACACCCCTGGCCCTCTTGTGATGTTTTGATTCAGGGCCTTACTTAATTGCATGAGCTGGCCTTGAGTTTGTGGTCCTCCTGCCTCAGCCTCCCAGAGTGCTAGAATTATAGGTGTACAATAAATATTTAAACTGGAGTTTTGGAAAAAGATATTAATATATACTAAGAGTCTATTCTGAAAATGTTTTTTACCTAAAAATTTTTATTGGTTATCAGTCAAACATTTTAATCAAGGTGTGATTGTGCCCCTGAAATATAGTAGGTTATTATTAACCTTAAACTAATTGTGAGAATTTACCTGAAAGAGTACAAAGTAATAATTGAAAATAAATGTTTTTCATATATTTCAGATACTTTAAGATCAGGAAAACTGCTTAACACATTTATACATATTTCCTGATAATTGGTAATTACTCAATAAGTAGTGTAGGCAAAACATTCTCAGTGTTATCCATGAGTTGTTTAAAACCTCTAGATTTTTTCCCTATAGCACCCGTAGTAATAGATAATAGATGAAGCATGGAGATGCTTAGGAGAACTATCTTAATATGTTGATAAGAATATTTATAATTATATTAGTTATAAATTGGTATTCCTGAATTATTTGAGTTTTTAAATGTAAGTAAAAGTATTTTAAACATTTCTTTTGTAGCCGTTTGTTATTAGTACCTTTGATACATGTAAACATATATTTACTATATTCCCTGAATTATAACTTCTGAATTAATAAATGCTAACTATATATTTTTCCTTTTATAATACATAATAGCACTAGTTGTCCCCAAAATAAGCTAAGGGTAAATACGGAAATTGCCAATAGGCACATGAATTTTAAATTCTGAATAATCCCTTAATTCAATTATTTAAAAGCTCAGTAAATATATTTTGACTTCCTGTTAAACTTTTCAGTATAGAAAATTTGAAAATATATAAAGAAAGGCAAAAAATCTCTAATCCAGACATAATCAGATAGGAAATTAACTAGGATTACTGTCTTAGATTTTTAAATATACAAATGTTTTTAGCATTCAGGGTCATACTATAAATGTAGTATATCCATTATATGTTTATATCCTTTAATACCATGAATATTTTGCTATGCTCTACTTCTTTTTAAATGCTGTGATATTTATTACTGCATAATATGCTATCTGATATATGTACTGCAAATTATTTCACTTATCTATTACACAATATTTAAACTTCTTAGATTTTTATTTTTTTAAATAATGCCATAAAAATTAATACAGGTTTTGGATTTACAGTACAAATATATTTATTGTTGTATATTTATAAGGCTTACCTGATCATGTGGTTAGATATATTCTTGCTGGGGAAAAATACAGAGAAGAATAAGGGCAACACTGTAATCTGTAAATACGATTTACTGCAAAAATATTTCTTAAAATCAAAATTATTATATATATGATATTAGAATAACAAATTGGAAACCATATTTCATTTTTAAACATTGGGTTCAATGTTTTAAACAGTGTACACCTACGATATATGTAGTATTAGTCAGAATCAAGTATTACTTCTTGACTTCTAGCTAAGATGAAGTGTAGACTATTTGACAAACTTGTTTTGGGGACATTTAGTAAAATTCATTTATGTAAACACAGTCTTAGAACCCTGAAGTCTGTGTAAAAAACCCTAATAGGAATAAAGCAAACTCTTGTCATAAAACCATATATTTCCCCTGGAGCTAGCAAATAACTGGACTGTGCCTGAAACAGCCCTGAGTCCGGAGTCTGAAGATCTGCCACCAGGTCAGGGCTCGGTCAGACAATAGTGTGATCTTAAATATATAAGAGTCGCTTAACCTCAAAGACTTTTTCTAAAAATAGAATTAAATATATAAAAGGATTATAGTAAAAGCAAGATATTTCTGTGTTTATAGGAGTATCTTCACTCTGCCCATTTCACAAAAATATTTTAAAGAAATATCTTTTATACCTAGTAACCAAAAGCCTTAAGAGGCTGCCCTATTTCTACCAGATAAGATTTTAAATTCTTAGTGTGATTAACAGGTTCTCTGTCATTTGTTCTGTTTCTTTTTCTCCAGAGTCATAGCCTATGGTTCCCTTACACACGCAGCATTCATGTATTATAGAACTCTGGTACTTTTCAACCTTAAAAACACTCGGAAACCCTGTTTCTTGGTATCATTGCATATACTGTACTTCTGCCTGTAATCTTTACTTCTCCTTTTTCCTCCTCCCACAGGATCCCTTTTCTATTTGAGACTTAATTTACACATCATTTCTGAAAGCTAGTTTCTCAAGTCCTTCATGCATAACTTTCACACTTAGACTAGAATTGCAGTGTAGTTATTTATTTGTTAACATTATGAAAATATCTAGGACAAGATATCTTTCAGCTCTGATGAAGATGGAGATGGTTTCCCCATCTCCTAGTTCATAGCCTAGTACATAACAGGCACTCAGTAGATACTCGACTGAGTACAATATCAACTGAATCGAATGAACTTGTTTGAAGATACCTAACATGTTAATTTTTGATATGGTTTTATTTGTATATGAAATATTTTTACATTTGAGCCATGTAATTTTTTAAAGAACGTTTAAATTTGTGGTTTTAAAAAATGTTTAAAGTACTGGCTTCAAAACTAGAATACAGGGATTGGGAGTGAAGCTCAATGGTAGAGCAATCGCCTACCATGTGCTAGCATGTACTGGGTTCAGTACCCAGCACAAAAAATGAAAACGAAAAGATTAGTTTCCAAACATTCAAAATTTAATACTTAACATATAATTTTTTCTCATTTCCATATATTCCAGGCCTACTGTGTAACAGAACCTGGAGCAGGCTCTGATGTAGCTGGCATAAAGACAAAAGCAGAAAGAAAAGGAGATGAGTACGTTATTAATGGTCAGAAGATGTGGATAACCAATGGAGGGAAAGCTAACTGGTATGAGTTTGAAACATCTCTGTGTATTTCTTAATTACTTTATTTCAGAATCTTATTGTTAAATCACAATTAAAATAAGCCACATTCATGAGAAGAAGGTTCTAAGAGATTATAGATAAGTTAGTTCAGTGGTTTTCAAAAACTATTTTTAACCCGCTAAACTGTTTATATCAGATTCTAAGAAGTTTAATTTATAAAGTAAAATAAAAATAGTGACTGTGTGAACTCTTCAAATAGATAAATCAAGTAATATACGAAAATAGAAAACTTTTCAATTTTTTACTGTTACTAAATTAGAATCAGTGATAATTTGTTAGTTATTTAAGCATAGGAAATAAATTTCTTGTTTAAGGAGAATTGGGCTTTTCTTCTGGTGCTGCTCGAGATTGGACCCACGCCTTGCACATGCCAAGTCTGCACTCTACTACTAAGCCGTATTGTAGCTCCTTTCTGACCAAACTGCCTCAGGGAGGGAAGACCCAGCAAATACTCAAACTGATTCAACCACAGGGCCAGAGATTTAGCTCAGTGGCGCCACACCTGTCTGGCAACCACAAGGTCCTTACTCCCATCCCCAGTACCAACAACAACAACAATAATTCAACTATAACAAATACTCTGCCTTTGCTGGAAAAGGGGACAGTAATCAAAGCATAAAACATAGTAGTCAGAACATAATGTTCCTATTCATAAGCAGCCCAGTTTGCTGTCCTTTTACAGATAACTTTCCCTTAAAGAACAAACTTGGTTTGAGGGGAGAAAAAAATGCTAGTTCAAACTTGCACATACTTTCTCATCATATTATATTATAAAATACAAGGAATTTTTACCTACAACTCAGGCTACCAAAGAAGTTAAGTTCCATATTAGTTAAGAAGTAGACCTGGGTTGAAAAACTAATTCTGCCAAATAGTAGGTATGTGGCTCACGGAAGTTTTGAAACCTGATTGTTCATTTGTTGTCTGTAAAATGAGAGTGATAATAATTGGGGTGTTGGGAGTATTAACTGAGATAGCAGTCACTTTGGTTAATCACCATCATCATGTATTTGTATCAGGTACTTTTTATTGGCACGTTCTGATCCAGATCCCAAAGCTCCTGCAAGTAAAGCTTTTACTGGATTTATTGTGGAAGCAGATAGCCCAGGAGTGCAGATTGGAAAAAAGGTAAAGTGTGTATTTAACAGCAATTAAGACTTCAAGTATTGTTTTTACTAAACATAAAAATTACTACTTAAGCATCTTTTAAATAAAATATTTTGTTTAGTTGAAATAAAAATAAAGCTGTGTTTTGAGGTAAAATAGTTTATATGTTGCTGAAGTTTTAAATTGAGCAGTCATTTTGAAAGATTGGACCTTCATAGTACCAACCTGTAGAGAATGCTGTAACAGCTGTGAGATACCATGAAAGAAATCAAACTAACATTTAGATTGCCTGCCCAATAGTAGAGTTTTAGATATTTCTTTTTAAATTAATTTTATTGGTACATTTTAGGTATACAATATAATGACATTCATCATTGGAAATTTGAAGTTTTAGGTATTTCAAAAGACTTTCCAACTCATAGCAACCTTTTCTTAGGATAAGTGACAATCTGCCCATTTCATGAATTAAAACAATGTAACAAATGGATCACCTGAGATCATACATTTTAAGAGAGCTATCTGTGTCTGAGAAAATTGTGAGAATGGCAAAGAGCCTTCAATATGGAAAGGCAAGAAAATTTTATTGAAATAAGAAAAAATTATTTAACATATTTTATAGTCTGAATGTGTGGAGATAATTTAGCACTTAAAGTAGACTAAAGAGAAAGTTTAAAATGTGAGAAATCGAAGAAATAAAATCATTATTCCTAGTAGGAGTTAACAAAGCATGGTTTAAGATTATACTGAGACTAGAAAGAGGGACTCATGTTTATAATTGTAAAGCTTTTTTGCAAAATGAATTTTAAAACACCTATTAGTGACTAAGTCATGTCTGTACCTAAGCCAAAGGAGGAGTTGAGGAAGATAATTAAGAGTTACCAAAGGTTACATGAACAAATTTTCTTCTTTCTATGTGGTGAAAGGCACAGATTATCTGGTCAGATACGAGAACAGGTTTCTGTGGCCTGAACTGGAAAAACTAATTTGAACTGATAAATATATTTCAAAACCAGTATTACATATGTGTAGAATCTCATTGGCATCTCTTCTGTTGTATCCAAGCCTAAGGTGAACATTGCTGGAGTATATAAAAAGGGTAACTTCTCTTAGGTCATTGTTTTAGTCAGTTTTTTTGTCACTGTGATTTAAACCATACCGCCATGGAATCTTAAAGGTAGAAGATACTCTATATGTTATTTACTTCAGTCTATGCACAGAATATTGAAACCAAGATCCAAGAAAGTGATTTACTTAAGGTCACAAACTTAGAGGCAGAATTGAGGTCAGTAATAAGGTTTAAAACCTACCTGATGCAGTTTCTGACACTATTGTGTTGTATTTTAAAAGCATAATTTTAAGAAGTATAGTATTAAAGATAGACTGCATATTACAAATAAATCTAATGGTATTATTTATATAACAAAAATGTAAGTAGTAAGAATAGTTATGCTTCTCCCAAGAAATTAGTTGTCTGTGAAGTCATGTTTCCTTCTTAGGGATGGTGGCTAGGAATCTCAGGGCCAAATGTATGGCACATTGACAGCATAAAGGACATAGTACCTTATAGTTTTTTCAGTCGTAAGCCAACTTCTGACTTTATCTTGAGATTTCTAGTTTCACTGTCTTTTTTTTCTCAATTTTCTCATTTTAAAAAAATCTTTTAATTGAGGGCCTTGCGCTTGCGCAGCAGGCGGCGAAACCACTGAGCTAAATCCCCGGCCCTCAAAATGTTTTGTGTTTTAGAAATTATTTGGTTTGGGAAGAGTCTAGGAAACGTTTTGGTTTTAAATGTGAGATTTGAGGGTGAGTGGGAAGCAGGTTAAACATTGTTTTTGTAGGCAGTGTTTTCTCATTTCATCTGAATAGTAGTCTAAGTTACTTGTCTTACTTTTTGATTGCTGGGACAAAATACCCAATATCCATAGGTTAAAGGAGGAAAGGTTTATTTTAGCTCACAGGTTGTAGAGGTTTCAGTCCCTAGTCAACTGGCTCCAAGGTAGGGTGGTATGGCAGAGGGACATTGAGAGGAGAAACAAGTTTATGGCAGAGCAGGCAGGAGGCAGAAAGCAGCAGTCTTTCTTCTGCTTCCCTTTTTATTCTGTCCAAGGCACAAGCCATGATTGTTGGTGCTCACATCCAGCGTGGGTCTTTCATCTTCAGTAAATCCATTCAGTCACATCCAGAACTATGCTAAGCCAATCAGTTGAGCATTCCTTACTCAAGCTGACAGAACATTTAACTATCACAGTACTAGAGTTTATTTATAAAGGCAAAATAAAGGGATGTTGGTTTCTTTCTGAGTTGAGCTACTATTGAAACTATTTCTCCAAACCTAGAAGCTACTCATGTTAAAGCCATCACACTAAACTAGTTTATAACTCTCTTGTCATTGCCCCTGCTTCTTATCTTGCTTATTAAAAACAAGGTTTTAAAATTTTTCTTTTCTGGGCCAGGGATTTACCTCAGTGGTTCCGGCGCCTGCCTCGCAGCACAAGGACCTGAGTTCAATCTCCGGTACAGAAAAAAAAAAAAAAAAAATTTCTTTTCCTTAAGAAGAGGTGCAATGTGTATAACTTCCTCTCAAAACAGAGAAAGTAAATAAATAAGTCAAGATGTCAACAATTGGTGCATCTAGATAAGGGTATATAAGTATTCATTATACTATTAAAACTAAGGTTGGTTTGAAATTTTTCAAAGCAAATATTGGGGAAATATAGTTTAATGTTTTCTTAAAAAGTTAAGTAACCAGTATTCCTAAGTACTTAACCCAAAAGAAATGAAAACAAACACCCATATATGAATAATTATGGAAGCTTTATTAATGATTACTAAAAACTGGGAGGGCAATGACCATCACCTGGTAGATAAGATATACAGTACATCCATATGGTACAATACTGTTGAGCTGTAAAAGAAATGAGTTACTGACCATGCAAAAACATGAATGAATATCAAAAGTACCATGCTGAGTGAAAAGTCAGACACAGAGGGTTGACCTTGTTATTACACTTAGTTGACACTCTATATGGAGAGAAAGTGGCTCTTTGGTTGTTAGGGTGTAGAAGTAGAGCAGTGGTGGCAAACCTGTGGCATGCATGTTATTTGTTTTTTGTTTTTTAAGACAAAAGATGTTAATGTATGAGTTGTTTTTTCTAAACTAAAACCTCAGGTTTATTTGTAGTGTTGGCATTTTGTGATAAATGGGTTTGGGGTTGCAGTGCGTACACTCGTCTCTAAAAGGTTCATCATCACTGAAGTAGATAGAGTAAGGTAATTGATTACAAAGACAGAGTAAGGTAACTTTTCAAGGTGCCAAAAATATTCTGTATCTTGATTGTGATGGTAGTTACATACATATATTTGTCCAAAGTATAGTAAATGCATACAGTAGTCCCCCCCTTCCTCAGAGTTTTGCTTCTCACAGTTTCAATCACCTGTGGTCAACCATGATCTGAAAATACTAAATGAAAAATTACAGAAATGATTCATAAGTTTTTAATAATGTTTAATATAGTATATTGTTACAATTCTTCTATATTATTACTACTCTTAACCGTAAATGTAACTAATTTATATGTTAAATGTGATAAAAAATGTGTATATGTAGAAAAATCATAGTATATAAAAGATTTGGTACTATACACGGTTTGGGGCAGCCACTGGGAATCTTGGAATATATTCTGCATGTAAAGGGACACTGCATAAAAATGATGAATTTTTCTACATGTAAAGTCTGCCTTAACCTAATTTCAAGAAAAAGTTGGAGCAAAACAAAACCCATTTTTTAATCAGCGGATTACTTTAATTCTATTATTTAAGCTAAGATTAAAGGTCCTGAATCAAATTATGTTTACTAAATGTTTTTTCTGACACAGTAAAAAAGATAGTTTTTAAACATTTACAAAGTATACTCAATTTGTACACCTTTAGGGTAATGTTCATTTGAAAGCTTCAATATATTTTTGACTAGGGTTTGGCAAACTTTTTCGATAAAGATACAGATTCTAAATATGTTAGACTTGCCATGCTATATGGTCTGTCACAACTGCTTGCTCAAAGCTGCAGCAAGAAAGTAGCCATAAAAGATAAGTAAACACATAGATGTGTCCATATTTTACTTATTTTTATTATTATTATTATTATTTTGGTACCGGGGATCGAACCTGGGTCCTTGCGCTTGTGAGGCAGGCAGTGGAACCACTGAGCTAAATCCCCAGCCCAATGTGTCCATATTTTAGTGAAGCTTTCCTTAAAAAACAGGTATTACAGGCCATAGATTATTGCCTCTGCTTTTAGATACTTACAAAGCCACAAAAGAATGACTAAAGGTAAAATTGATGTAACAAAGATGTTTCTTAAAATACCACAATTTTCTTGTTAGGAATTAAACATGGGCCAGCGATGTTCAGATACAAGAGGAATTGTCTTTGAAGATGTGAAAGTGCCTAAAGAAAATGTTTTAATTGGTGAAGGAGCTGGTTTCAAAATTGCAATGGGAGCTTTTGATAGAACTAGACCTACAGTAAGTAATAGGAATTGATAATCTTTACAGGATTTTTTATGTTACATTAAATAATTTGTTTTATTTTAACATTGTATGCTTGTTGTGATTTTAAATATCTGCTTATTTTAGTAAGGGTGGAGAAGAGATATTATGACTTTTATATTTAAATTGTTTTTGCTTCTCATTATAGAAATAATTTTAGCAGATGCAAAATTAATGTAGTTTCTGTTAGATCTACAGAGACCAGTGTACACTTAATTTGATAATTCCTGTTGACTGTGTAGTTATTTTTTTATTTCTTTAAAATGAATATTTCCCCTAGGAAGGGTTCTCTTGTTAAACAGAGGAGTGACTTCTCTAGACTGTGACCCTATGCTTTTCATTACCTTTTTATCCCCCACTGCTAGGTTTCAAACCCAGGGCCTCAGACATGTTAAGCATGCATTTACCACTGAGCTACATCTCCAGCCCCTGCCCTTACCTTTAATTTATAAATAACATGTATTTAAGTGCTTATCTTGCCTTAAGCTATAGATTCTCTTTGTATAATCCTTTATTTTGAATCTTAGAGAGGTAACCATTTACTGTATATCTTAATGATAACATGAACTTTTGCTTATAAATGTTAAAATCCTAGGTAGCAGCTGGTGCGGTTGGATTAGCACAAAGAGCTTTGGATGAAGCCACCAAGCATGCCCTGGAAAGGAAAACTTTTGGAAAGCTACTTGTAGAGGTAATTTTAATATTGTGTTTGCTTTGTTGAACTATAAAATACTCTCTTTCATCCAAATTTCAGAAATTATTTTTAAAATACAAAATATTAACTATTCTCTCCCCTAATACTTACTGAACCACCAATGTTGGTGGTATTCAAACTGTGATAAAAGGCCAGTTTGTTTTTTATTTCAAATCAATTGTGGACCATTACTTTTGTAAAATGTTTACCTAAGTTGAATGGCAGACTGATTCTCCCAAAGAGTTTAAGAATAGGAAGTGATTGCAATTTAGGTATATGTCCTGCAGCAGATCATAGGCACATCTGAAGGAGCTGGGGCAAAGGGAAGCTCTTAAAGACAAAAGGAGAAGTCTTTGTAAGCTTTTTTGAAACAAATACCACTAGTTATAGGAGCCTGTGTCATCGATGGAAAAAGATATTGCAGGGCAAATGTCCTTGTGAAAACAATGTATCTTTTAGGGGGACATTTAAGATCCAAACTATAACAGTATCCATTTATGCTTTTTGAGATTTGAACTGATTTTAACTATTTAAAAATAAGTGAAGTTAAAAGAAAAATAACTTAATCTTTGGCTTAGATAGCTACAGTGATTAAAACAACAATAATTAAAACAGTATGGTATTGGCACAAAAACAGAAATGTGGATCAGTAGAACAGAATAGAGGGAGCAGAAACAATCCCAGACATATTTCAACTATTTGATCTTCAACAAGGGGCCAAAAACATAACACTGAACAAAAGATAGTACCTTTAATAAAGGTTGCTGGGAAAATTGGATATCTACATGCAGATGACTTGAGTCTAGACCCATATATCTCACCACATACTAAACTAAAATCAAAATGGATCAAAGATCTAAATTTAAAACAGAAACAATATGCTGAAAGATAAAATAGGTAAAACTCAAAGACATACTCATAGGTGAGGACTTTCTGAACAGAACCCCAGTGGATAAGAATTAATAACAAGAACCAACAAATGGAATCATACCAAATTAAAAACTCCAAAAATTAGATCCCCAAAATAAAAGACCCAATCAAAAAATGGGCAACTGAAATGAATAGACACTTCTCAGAATAAGTACAAATGGCCAGCAAATACCTGAAGAAAGGTTCAACATCACTGGCCATTAGAGAAATACAAATTAAAACAACACTGAGCTTCCATCTTACTCCAGCATGGTTATCATCAAGAAATAAAGTAATAACAAATGCTGGTGAGGCTGTGGGAAAAAAACCCTTGTACATAATGGTGGAACTGTAAACTAGTACAACCAACCACTATGGAGATCAGTATGGAGATTCCTCAAAAGACTAAAAATAAAAATTATTTTCAACCTAGCTATTCACCTTCTAGGAATAGTCCCAAACGAGTTAAAGTCATCCTATTACAGCGATACATGTTTATAGCAGCACAGTTTATAATAGCTAAATCTTAGAAAGAGTATATATACCCATCCACAAAAAAACAGACCAATGGAATCAAGCAGTGGACTCAGCAGACTGCAGTGGCTGGTGATTTATTCAGGTTCAGATCTCCCCCAGGAGAGGGCCCAACTGATCTCAGAACTCAGAGCAGCCATCTAGTGGCTCCCAGTGTCAGGTTGAGGCTGCTGAGTTCAAGCTGGGAGGAGACACTTGGTGTGTTACAGACTGAACAAATCAGGTTCCAGCCTCACAGCCAGAAACCAGCCTGAACGTCAGTGGAACTAAAGTTACAGGCTTGCTGGGATTATCTACTACTCTCCTATAAAACACCTGCTGGCTTGCTAGGATTAATCAACTCTGTGTCACTTTGTCTACCAGTGACAGCAGAGATACACCTTGAAGTGGACTTTTTTTGTTTTTATTTTTGTTTTTTTCTTATTTGTTCTTGGTTTTTATATAAGTGTGAAAACAGTTTCTAGTTCGTTATTGTTTCTCTGTTCTGTTCTTGTTTTTATTTCTAATGTCTCTCTTTTCCTCCTGTCTTCTTCACCAGTTTCCCAAAGTTTGCATAATCTTCCTCCAGCCTTGCTTCTAATTTCTTCCTCTTTTATTTCTCTATTTTTCCCTCTAACTTCTTTTAAATTTTCTTCTCTGATGATAAAATCACCATACAGAGGGCTTATTTACTGTATACAATTTTTTTGGTTTGCTTTAGAATTTGTTATATAACCATAAATCTGGTTGGGTAAAGGTAGTTTGTACAGTTAAATAGCTACCAGTTTGTCATTTTGTAGGCTGTGTTTGATGCTGTTGTTATAGCTGATTATACTACTTTAGCCAAGGTGACATAATTGTTCCAATTAGTTGTTCTTTCTGGAATGCCAAGACTGAGATTCCCTAAGGATCATAAACAATTCTGTAGGCCATTGCCAAAGAACTAGGGACTGGGCCAAGTAGACAACAATTTCTCTTCCCCAGTAAATTGAAGAAGTAGGAACTTGCAAAAGTCTCAAAACTCAAAAGCCAGCTACACCTAGAAGACATCTCTGAGAAGTAGTCATTTTCTAAGGGTTCTAACCACTAGCAATAAAGCTACTCACCATAAGCAATTTACAAGGATCAACCCAGGGATTAAATTTATAAAAAAAGAAAATGAGAAGACGCTTAAGCAAGATGTAACCCTAGACTTCCAGCTCACCAAAGGCAAAACTAGGGGCAGTGAGATAGAACAATTGGAAAACTTCCCACCTGGCCCCTCAGAAGTGGTAACAGCAGAAGGAACAAAGCAGATGAGTGAGGCTCTAGAAAAAATCAAATCAGAAATAACTTCTCAGATAACTATGGAAATGGTGACCATAGTGAAAGACATGCTTAGTGACTCTAAAGCAGATACAGAGTTAAAAAAAAAGAGGAGCTTAGAAAATGATGGAAACCATGAACGCCCAACAGAGGAAAGAAATGAAATCCATGAAACAAATTCAAACAGGTATCAGGATATTAAAAACTCCACTGAAAGTATATCAGCACAATTAGCCAATGTGAGAACTGAATATTGGATATAGAAAACAGGATTGAGGTTAGTAATCATGAAAAGAAAGATTTCTTAAAAATAATAAGGGACCATGAAAAATCAATCCAGCAGCTGCTAGATGATGTAAAGAACAATAACCCAAGATTTATCAGAGTCAATGAAAAAGCAGGAGATAGCACAAATGACATAAAAAACCTGTTGACAGAAGTAATGACAGATAACTTCGCAAGCAGAAAAAGAATTTGACATACAGATAAGTGAGGCATATAGAACTCCAATTGGCCATGATCAAATAAAAATCTACACCAAAGCATATAATAGTCAAGATTCCATAAATTCAATACAAGATCAGAATATTAAGAGCTGTTAGAGCAAACAAACAAATCACCTATAAAGAAAGCTCATAAGAATCACAGCATACTTCTCAACACAAACCCTCAAGTCAAGGAGAGGTTGGAGTGAAGTATTTCAAGCCCTAAAAGGAAACAACCTCCAACCCAGATTGATGTACCCCACAAAACTATCTTTCAAAATAGATGGAGAAAAGATACTTCCATTACAAAGAACACCTGAGGAAATTAATAACCACCAAAATAGCACTCCAAAATGTACTGAAGGACATTCTACAAGGACATAACAAGGACTACAACTCAGTGAACCCCAACAGAATGAATCCACCAGGCAAGGCTTAGCCATTAAACAGAAAGGGGGAAAGGGAACCAACAACAGGAAAATAACATGACAATGAAAAAAGTCAATACATACCAGTTATAAACATCAATGTCAGTGGTCTTAGTTCACCAATCAAAAGAAACAAACTGGCAGAATAGATCAAGAAGCACAATCCAACAATATGCTGGATACAAGAAACATTTAATTAAAGAAATTCATAGTCTGAAAGTCAAAGGATGGAAAATAATTCTTCATGTGATAGGAACCCAGAACAAAGTAGGGGTAGCTATTCTATTTGCAGACAAAATAGATTTCAAGCCAAGACTGACTGACTGAGACAAAGAAGGTCACTGTATCCTAGTAAATGAAATGATCCAAGAGGAAGAAATAGCAATCATAAATATATACACACCAAATACTTGTGCACCCAACTATATAAAAAACATTAATGGACATGAAAAATCAAATAAGCACTAATACAATTGTAACGGGGGACCTCAAAATTCCAGTCATAGATCTACTAGACAAAAAAAATCAACAATGAAATAATCAGAATTGGACCAAACTTTAGAACAAATGGACTTAGTAGATCTCTACAGTGTTCTACCTCACAACATCAAAATACACATTCTTCCCAGCTGCACACAGTGGTCTGCAAAATAGACCACTAGCTCATAGAAGATGTTTAAGTAAATACAAAGGAATTGAAATTACCTGTGCTATTATCAGACCATTGTGCATTGAAACTGGAAATCAGTGGCAAAAGAAACTACAAGAACTTCATAAACAGATAGAATTAAATGACACCCTCCTGAACAACCAATACATTTAGTTGAAACTGAAGAAATTAGACAGTTTCTCTAATTAAACAGTAATGCCAGTACAACATATTGGAATTTACAGGATGCAATGAAAGCAGTCCTATGAGGGAAATTTGTAGCGGTGAATTCCCATATTAGAAAAACAAAGCAAGCTTAAATAACCAACCTAATGTTGAACATCAAGGTTTTAGGAAAAGAAGAGCAAATAAAGCCCAAAGTTCATACAAGGGAAGAAATTATAAAGATCAGAGCAGAAATTAATGCAGTGGAGACTAAGAAAATAATACAAAGAATTGGTTCTTTGAAAATAAATTTAAATAAATAAAATTGACAAACCCTTAGCCAACCTTATAAAAAAAAAGGAAAGAAAAGACTCAAATTCATGCAATTAGCAAGGGTAAAATCACAAAAAACCCTGCAGACATCCAGATCATCAATACCTATTTGGAGAACCTGTTTTGAATAAGATGGAAAACACAGAAGAAATGGACAGATTCCTAGATGGATATGAATTCCAATGCTGAATGAAGAAGATATAAAAATTCTAAATAAACCAGTATCAGTCAATGAAATTGGAGATGTAATTAAAAACCTACCAAGGAAGAAAAGCCCAGGCCCTGACCAATTCACTTCTGAATTTTACAAAAAATTTAGAGAAGACCTTATGCTGATAATTTTCAAACACTTTAATAAAATTGAAAGGGAGGCAGTACTCCCACATTCATTCCAGGAAACAAGCATTACCCTGATATATAAACCAGAGAAGGATCCAACCAAAAAAGAACAACAGGCAAATCTCCCTAATGAGTATAGACCAAAAAAATCCTCAAGATACAAACATAATGCAGCAAATCATCAAGAAGATTATACACCATGACCAAGTAGGATTCATCCCATGGATGCAGGGAAGGTTCAACATATGCAAATTAATAAATGTAATATACCATATCAACAGAGCCAAAGACAAAAATCACATGGTTTCAATAGATGCAGAGAAAGCACTTGACAAAGTCCAACACCCATTCATGATAACAACCCTGCAGAAAATTGGGATAGTCTTTATCTCAATCTGATCAAAGCCATCTATGACAAACCAACAGCCAACATCATACTAAATGGACAAAAGCTGAAAGATTTCACTCCAAAATCAAGAACAAGACAAGGACATCCACTGTCACCGCTCTTATTCAATATAGTTTTGGAAACTAGCCAGAGCAATTAGACAAGAGAAAGAAATGAAAAGAATAAGGATAGGAAACAAAGAAGTTAAATTATTGTGTGCAGATTACATGATACTCTACATAGAAGACCCCCAAAACTCCACCAAAAGACTTCTGGAGTTAATAAATTCAGTAGGATCTCTGGATACAAAGTCAGCACTCAAAAATGAATAGCCTTCTTGTATACAAATAACAGACTCACTGAGAGAGAATCAGGGAAACAACACCTTTTACAATAGCATCCAAAAAGATGAAATACCTAGGAATCAATCTAATGAAGGAAGTAAAAGGCCTTTACATTGAAAACTAGTACTCTGAAAAAAAGGAGATCCAAGAGGATATCAGAAAATGGACGGATATCCCTTGTTCTTGGATAGGAAGAACCAATATACTAAAAATGTCCATACTTCCAAAATTGTTACACATATTTAATGAAATCACATTGAAAAATACCAATAGCATATCTCATAGAATGAGAGAAGACAATCCTAAAATTCATTTGGAACCAGAAGACACCTAGAATAGCAAAAGCAATTCTGAGCAACAAAGACAAGGCAGGAGACATCACAATCCCTGGTGTGAAATTATACTACAAAGCTACTGTGGTAAAAACAGCATGGTACTGGGGGAAAAATCCAGACCTGAATATCAGTGGAACAGATTAGATGATGCAGAAACAACTGCAGACATACTCAGTCAACTTATCTTTGACAAAGGAGCCTTCACAGGAAGAAAAATAACCTTTTTAATAAATGGTGCTGGAAACAATGGCTTTCCACTTGCCGAACACTATAACTAGACCCATGTCTCTCACCATGCACTAAACTAAAATGAAAATGGATCAAAGATCTAAATATTAAAACAGAAACACTAAATCTGCTGGAGAGAAGAGGTAGAACTCTTGAAGACACAGTTATAGGCGAAGATTTTATGAACAAAACCCCAATTGCACAAGAAACATTACAAAGAATCAACAACAGGGATCTCACCTTATTAAAAAGCTTTTGCACAGCAAAGGAAATCACCAAGGTTTCCCACAACCCACAGTGTGGGAAAAAATTTTTGCCACAAAGGACTAATATGTAGAATATGTAAAGAAGTCAAAAAAATCAGACTGCCCAAATTAAAGACCCAATCCAAAAATGAGCATCTGAAATGAATAGACACTTCTCATATGAAGAAGTACAAATGGCAAATAAATACATGAAAAAATGTTCAATATCACTGATCATTCGAGAGATGCAAATGAAAACAACACTGAGATTCCATCTCACTCCAGAAAGAATGGCTATTATCAAGAAGCAGTGATGGTGAATCTTTTAGACCTTTCAGTGATACAAATAGCCCGCTGCAGCATGTGTGCCACAGGCTCACGTCCACTGCTCTAGAGGATATGAAGCATCTTATCAATGTCTAATACACTGCCATTTTTTAAAAGAAAGCCCAGCAGACACCAGAAGGACAGTTTTATATTTGTCCTCAAAGTGCATAATCTCATTCCCTTTACAAGAAAACATTATATAAACCCAAATTGAGGGACATTATACAAAAGATGATCAATTAATATTCTTTAAAGGGGCAAAGGTCATGAAAGATGAGGAAAGACTGGAGAGAAACCCTGGGAGAGACTATGAAGAAATGAGTGAATTCAATGTATGATCTTGGAACAGAAAGGGTATTAGTGGAAACCTTGGCCAAGTTTGAGTAAAGTCTGTAGTTTTAGTTGATAAAACTTACCAGTATGAAAGCCCTGTACTTCATTATTGTACTGTGGTTGTGCAATTGGTTAACTTTACAGGTAGCTGGTTATAACTTTTCTGCAAGTTTAAAATATGTTCAAAATAATAAAATTTTAAAAATAGCCCTGGAAGAACAAACTTCTAAGTTCTGTCATTAGACATCCCCAATCTGTTTCTTTTTAACTCTAGCACCAAGGAATATCATTTTTGCTGGCAGAAATGGCAATGAAAGTTGAGCTAGCCAGATTAAGTTACCAGAGAGCAGCTTGGGAAGTTGATGCTGGTCGCCGAAATACCTTTTATGCCTCTATTGCAAAGGCATTTGCTGGAGATACTGCAAATCAATTAGCTTCTGATGCCGTGCAGATTTTTGGAGGCTATGGATTTAATTCAGAATATCCAGTAGAAAAACTAATGAGAGATGCCAAGATCTATCAGGTAAGCTTAAAATGGACTTTTGTTTATGAGAGGATATCATATTCATACATGACAATAGATTTCTGATCATTTAGGGATCTTATGATGCTAGAATAATAAATGACTATCATAGATGACTGTGAGACAATTTTTGGAATTGGCACATGAAAGGATGTTATTTTTTCCAGGTGTGGTAGTGTACACCTATAATCCCAGTACTAGAGAGGCTGATGAAGCAGGGGAATCACCAAGAGTTCAAGGCCAGCCTGAACTACATAGCAAGACCCTGTCTCAAAACACAAAACAAAATAACAAAAAAAAGAATATTATTTTTGACTAAGTTTAGGTATTAAAAGGGAATAGTCTACAAAGTAAGAGGTATAGACATGTATAATGTGTCTGGATCAGCCTTCTTTGAGTTTTAACATTCTAGCTAATTGTAGCCCATATTTTGCTCTCCAAAAAGTATGCATGCCACTTGAGATTATTTTGTTTTGAATGTTGCCTGACAGCTCTTCAGTTAATTGAGATCATAGTTGGAGTTAAAATCAACATGAGGAGATAGTGATATATGACTTCTAAATTAGAGTAGTGGTTAGAAAAACTTAGATAAAAGAAATTTAGTAAAAAAGAAATAGCCCAGCATGGTGGTGCATGCCTGTAATTCCAGCACTCAAGAGACTGAGGCTGAAAGATCGTGAGTTTGAGGACAGCCTATGCTACAAAATGAGACTTTGTTTAGAGAAACCAAAAGAAAGAGAGAAAAGAGAAAAGTGGAAGAAAGAAAAAAAAAATTTTTTTTTTTAGTACCGGAGATCAAACTTGGGACCTTGCACTTGCGAGGCAGGCAATGGAACCACTGAGCTAAATCCCCAGCCTAAAATGAATTTTTTAACAACTCTGTTTCTAAGGCAGCAGGAGGGAAAAAAAAGTAAAAAAGAAACCAGAATTGATAGTAAAAACAAAATGACTAAGGTTAACAGCTAAGTAAGAACAGTTCAAAAAGCTTGGATGAATTTTTTTAAAACATTAAGTATTTATTTTCCCAAATTTTTAAAAGGATAAATAGCCTTTTATTTGATGTTGTGAAGATTCCCAAATTTTGGTAAAATATCTTTTTATAATTAAATTACTTTTACAGGTTTCAGACTCCATAGGCTACAGATTATATATGATTTGCTTCAATTTGATATTACAGTGGAACTTACACGTTATCCAAACTATTGAATAAATCAAGGTGTCTATGTACTGTTGATATTTAACCTTTATATTTTTCTTGCAGATTTATGAAGGTACTGCACAAATTCAAAGGCTTATTATAGCCCGTGAACATATTGGCAAGTATAAAAGTTAAGAGATTACCGTAGAGATTGTAAAACATACAGAATTCTTGAGAAACTAGCACATGATTGACTACTTGTGCTTCAGAAAAGAGAAAGGGCTTTAACATTTTTCCAATAAAAATAAGTATGCTTATATAAATCTATGCAGTTGATTGTAGTATTTTGTACTTTTGTTTAACTTGGTGATTTCCCTTTTTTCAAATAGATTTGGTTTCATTAAAAGTATGTATTGTCGGGCTGGGGATTTAGCTCAGTGGTTCCGCTGCCTGCCTTGCAAGCGTAAGGACCCAAGTTTGATCCCTGGAACCAAAAAAAAAAAAAAAAGTATGTATTGTCCTTAGTACCACTATCCTTTAATGATACTAACCTAGAAAAATAATTTTATCATTTATATCTCTTATAAATTAAAAGTGAAAATACCTTAGAATTTTGATGTTTCCACTGACAGAAAAGTGAACTTATCAAGAATTCAGAGAATATTTCAGAATTTACACTGAGAAAGCATTGCAGGATTTGGATACTAACACAACTTGCCAAAGACTTTGTAGACTTAATGGTATTATTGTATCAAATGAATTTAATTTAAAATTTGAAATAAAATTTCTTTTAGTTTTACACAGTAAAAGAATGTCTTGAAAATCTTAACTACTGAGCCCCTATTTTATTTGCCTTATTTCAGATACTAAATCTTGCCTTAAATTATTTTTATAAGACTGTTGGTCTCTGGGTAACCTTTGGTCTGTTGTATACAATCTTATGTGCATTCATTCTAAAAAGGAACTTAAATAAAATTTTCTGTCATTGTTTAATATTGTGCCTTTGTGTATTTTTTCTATGAAGCTTTATTACTTCCTGTATTTTCTCCTATGAAAAGCAGGTCATGTTTTGATTTTGAATTACATAAAGTTACCTGCTCCTTTTTTATTATATTATTAAAGACCTCTGAAAATATAAATATCAAATAATATAAGAACAAAAATTGGTGAATTTAATGATTCTTTGTAACTCAAAATACCAAATAGTAAAAAACTATTAGTGTGTTTTCTGACACTACTTCTGATTCTTTATCTTTTGATATAAACTGTGTGGCCTATATTTCAATTCTGTCCTGATATGACCCAGCTTTAGGCTGTCTCGAAAGTCTGCCCTTGCTTCAGAGCCAGTCCCAAGTCCTGGGACCGAAGGTTACCCATACTCAATCCAACATGGCTACAAATTCAGGAATTCCCATGAACCTACCCTCGGGTCTAATAATTTGCTAAAATGGTTCATAGAACTCAGGAAAACACTTTGTTCATTTTATTCCAAAATTTAAAACCTAGGGATAGCAGTAGAAGAGAGAGCAAGGTCTGGTGGCAGGCAGGGCACTGCACACAGCTGCACTGCAGTCTCCCAGCATAGCATGTCCCAGGACCTCTTATGTATTCCCTAACCTAGAAGCTTCTTGAATCCCATTCGATCTCTCTTCTCCCCTCCTCCCAAGAGGATAAGTTCTCACCTGTAATTAGCCACTTAGGACTGCTGTAAAAAAATACTGTAGACTAGGTGGCATAGAGATATATTTTCTCAAAATTCTGGACACTAGATCAAGGGGCCCCTCAAGATCACGGTCCCCTTAAGGTTGTTTCCTGTTTTCCTGGCTGTAGAATTCCACCTTCCTGCTGTGTCCTCGCATGTCCTCTTCCTGCAAGGAAGAGATAGGCTGGGAGTGTGAGACCTAACTAACTCCATTTTAAAGTTTGACTCCATCTTAAAGTAAGACAGTGAAGTGGCCTTGACATAAATTCAACTTCACTGAAGTCAACTATTCCCCTAGTCTCCTTTGTGCCCATAAAATAATGATAAAATGTCCTTGCTGTGGGACAACAGATAAAAAAGAGACACAGCTCCTAACTCAATCCTCTGTCTGCCCAGAAAACAGATGCTCCCGGGCCCATTATCTATAGAACATTCTGTCAATGTGCTGATTGTTCCTTTTTCCCATAAACTCTACATGTAGCCACCCCTCAACACCCCATGCTTGCTAAATATCAACCAATCATGTAACTGCTAAATGGAACATCCCCAAACCTTGCAGTAGCCACAATAAAAACCCTGCTGATTTGGAATTCGGGGCTCTCAATCCTGATCTGCTGCGTCGGTGACGGTTGAGTGCCCCTGCTCGAGCTTGAATAAATGACCCTCGTATGTTTACATCGGAATCGGCTCCTTGGTGGTCTTTGGGGACTTCACGATCTGGGCACAATAGGAGAGGTCCGGTGTCTTTTCTTCTTAACAGGTGTGATGCTTGATTGACTGTGTCAGCTTACCAAACAGTGCCCAACTAGACTAGCTCAGCATGGTTCTGGGTGTGGAAGACCTACTCAAGAGAGGATTGTTGCCCAAACGGTATAAAAGGGAAACAAGGAAGGATCACTTCTGTTTTCTTCTGAGGAGCTCCAGTCTTCACTTTCACATTGGACACCATCTCCTGGCTTTCAGTGCAGACCCTTCAGCCTGCATCATCAACCCTTTGGCCTCCTCATATGGACTCACACGGGACACTACACTGAACTCCAGGCCTTCAACTGGATCCTTTGGATCACCAATGCTCAGGCAGCCCTTTTGCATTCTTCCACACCCTACTCTCTGGGCAGACACTGTAAGCCAATCTTGTAAATTTTTACATATTTATGTATCTTGCATCAAATCTGTTTCTCTAGTAAGAACTTGCTGATACATAAGGACACCAGCTCAGGAAGATTTGAGCCCTACTCTCTGACCTTAATTCTGTAAAGATTCTATCTTCAAATTCCTTCATACTGGCTATTAGTTTCAGTTTGTGAATTTGTTGGGGGAAAACTATGCACAGTTCACTCCATAAAATTACACTAAATAGTTTTTATGGTGATCAACCCCATCCTGAAGCTATCCTGTTTCTTATATGAATAGGGGAAGGAGGTGTATGTACAATTCAGTGCATATGATCACACCAAATAGTCTTTTAATGGTGATCAGTCCTGTCCTGAAGTTATGTAGGGGACCCATCATAAGTCTCATTAGGATAAATTCAAGTTTTTGAAAAGATGCTTCAGGCCAGGTATGGTGGCACACTCTTTTAATTCCAGCTGAGGCAGGAAGATCACTACAAGTTCAAGGCCAGTCTGAACTACATAGCAATACCCTGTCTCAACAAAACAAAACATAAAAAGATAATACTTCAGTCAGGAAATTCAAAGGGTTTTAGGAACTCTGTGCCAGGAACTTGGGACAAAGACTGAATATTTATTATACCACACTTAATTACCAAACTAATGAATCTTTTACAAAAGCAGTATTTACATGACTTTTTCATGCTTGATATTGAAAATTTAATGGCACAACTAAAGATCTGGTAAAATATATGCTTCTTGAGTATTACATAGAAATTACAAGTAGACTACATACATTTCAAATGCAGATTTGAATGTGTAATACTACAAAGATCGAAAAATTTGCCAATTTAAATGAAAAGCTTTTAAACATGATATAAATGTACACCAAAACCGCAGGATGAGAATATTAACATCCTTAGTATTAAGCAATCATATATCAGTTATAACTTTTTAATCACAAGAAATTATTTTAAGCTACTTTAAGCAAGAAAGAAAACAACATTTTAAGTATACTGAGTGCCTCCTGGATCTGAAGTGCAGGGATGCAATTAATTATAGGAAGGAACTGTAACCAGAATAATTAGTGGGTTTTTTCCTTTTTGTCTTGTTTTGTTTTTTGAGATGTGTTCTTACTACGTAATCCAGGTTGACAATCCTACATCAACCTCCCAAGTGCTAGGGTTACAGGCATGTTCCACTACACCCACCAGATAGTCAATCTTGTTTTTAATGAATACAAGTAGATATTAATAAAGAAAATATAAAAAGCACTCTTCTATAAAAAAACCAAAATTTCATAAAATAACTAGAGAATAACAACAGTTAATATACTATAAATCATGATCTTAAAAGAATGGCCAAAATATTCAGAGTAAAGTTACAGATTTAAAAAAAAAGAACTCTCAGGGCCAGGGATTTAGCTCAATGGTTCCAGTGCCTGCCTTGCAAGCTCAAGGACCTGAGTTCAATCCCCAGTACCAAAAAAAAAAGAACTCTCACAAAGAAGCAGCAAACAAATAATAGAACAAAACTTTCTTTTCAGTGAACAAAAAGAAACTAGTAGTATAAAGGAAACAAATTAGCATATACTTTAAAATATTTTTGAAACAGCAGAATAGACAATTTGGAGAATTATTTGAACTTCTTGCTTCATATATATGTGTGTATATATACACACATATATGTATATATATATATACACATATGTGTGTGTATATATGTGTGTGTAGATACACATATACGTATATATATATTTAGTTCCTCATATAATAGAAATCATGCTGTATTTAAGCTCGTGTTTCTGACTTACTTCACTTTATGTTCTCAGGTTGTATCCATTTACCTATGAATGCCTGAAGTTTATAAGAAAATAGTACTCCATTCTATATAAATACTACATTTTCTTGATCCATTCATCTGTTGATGGATCATATATGCTGTTTCTAAGATCTAGCTATTACAAGTTTATGCTGCTATAAACATAGATATGCATGTTTTGGGGAGCACCCCATTGATTATGGCCAAACCAGGCTGTGAGCAGTGTAGACTGTAAAGAGTTAACCCCATAATCGTCTTGTTTTGAGAAGAGAGTCAGGCCCAAGCCTAGGTGCCGAGGTCAGAGTGACTCACCCAAATTTCGTTCCTAAAGTTAAAACCATAACTAAAAAGACAAGGTTAATTATTAACCACAACCTATATTTTGTCTGTTCTGTTCCTAATTTAAAAATGCTTTGTCTCTTCCTTTATAAGCCTTGCCTGAATCAGCAATGTATCCATAGCAGCATAGATCTTCCAGGTAGCCCCTTTACCTCAGTCTAACTGTGATGTCACCAATAAATATCAACAGCTCTGTGTGTTCGGGGCCTTTGTTTATTCATCCTTGCTTGCATGAGCATTGATCATCCTGGCTCCACATATCTCTGTCTCTTTAATTATGTCTCTAAGTCTTTCTTCTCATCATGCATTGTAGCACTGAGCAGGAGATCAGAACTCACTGCAGGGCTCTCCAGTAGCATGTATCCTTGTAACATGATGATTTTAACTCTTTTATAAAATACCTAGAAGGGGAATAGCCTGGTCAAATGGAATTTTTAGTTTTTTGAAGTATCTCCATACTGATTTCCATATTGCTTTTAGTAGTTTACCTTCTCACCGATGATGCTGAAGGGTTCCTTTTCCTTCACATCCTCAACAGCAATTGTTATTTGATTTTTTGATGATAGACATTCTTTCTGGGGTAAGATAGTATCTCAATGTAGTTTTAATTTGCATTTCTCTAATGGCCAGTGATACTGACCCTTTTTTTTCATGTGTTTATTCATCATTTACTTCTTTGGAGAAGTGTCTGTTCATTGCAGTTGACCATTTTTGGGTTGGGTCTTTTATTTTGGGGGGGTCTAATATTTTTTAGTTCTTATATTCTTTTTTGTTTTCTTTTTTTTGAGACAGGGTCTTGCTGTGTAGTTTAGGCTGGCTTCAAACTCATGGCAATCCTCCTGCCTTTGCCTCCAAAGTGCTGAGATTACAGGCATGCACCACCAAGTTCTTCATATATCCTAAATATTAGTCCTCTGTCTGAAGAATAGCTGGAAAAACTTAAAGTTTAGGTTTAGGAAGAGGTTATCTTTTCACTTTGTCGGTGTCCTTTGCTGTGTAGAAGATTTTTAATTTGATAAGATCCCATTTGTTGGTTCTTGGTATTCTAACCCATTGGGGTTCTATTCAGAAAGTCTTTGCCTACACCTATGTCTGATATAAAGATTTAACACAATCCAACAGCATTTCTTACAGATCTAGAGAAAACAATGCAAAAATTCATATGGAACCAGAAGAGACCCAGAATAGCAAAAACAGGCATGAGGTTCAATAAAACAGAATAGAAGAAGGAGAAATAACTTTAGGCACATTCAACTATTTGATCTTTGACAAAGAGGCCAAAGACATACATTGGAGGAAAGATAGCCTCTTTATGGTTCTGGGAAAATTGGATATACATTGGCAGAAGATTAAGTGAAGACCCATACAGTATATTTCACCATATACTGAACTAAAAGAAAAATGGATCTGAATGTGAAAACAAACAATATGCTGGAAGATAAAATAGGCAAAACTCTTAAAGAATAGTCAATCTTAAGAAATCCATGGAATACAATCTTTTCTTACCACTCTGTCATGTTTCATTATTTTTCTTCCTCTATAGTTTGGCTTTCTCTGCTTCTTTGATCCCACAATAAAGTAAGACTTTACTATGGCATATTTATATAATCAGTTGACCACTAAAAACATAAATCGGGGCCGGGGATTTAGCTCAGTGGTTTCACTGCCTGCTGTGCAAGCGCGAGGACCCGAGTTTGATCTCCGGTTCCAAAAAAAAAGCATAAATGGACTATCTAGGGCCTTTTACTGCCTGGAAGGTAGGTAGGCTCAAGGAATAAAAAATGATTTGGTGGTTCCTTACCTCTTGATGTTTCCATAACAAAGAAGGTAAAATGGACCTTTAAAAATTAAGACTTTTTTAAAAGAGATAAGCTGCTTCTCCAGACTTCTCCTGCTGAAGGCATAAAGCACCACCCATTCCTCTCCTAAATCCAGATGAATGGTCAGAAAAGTAACACCTCAATCAGAAAACTAGGGTATCTTGTCTAAAAGGCATATACAGATGCTGACTCCTGATGCAGGTCATGTCTGCTTTGGTTTCCACAAGGATAGGAAGGAGCTAAGAAAGGCAAGGAGATGCAACAGCATGGAAGTTTCCTTGTCTCCTAATTTACTGTATTTCCTTGTACCAAAAGCCCTTGCACACTTGAACAAGAGGAGACAAAGACTGGAAGCAAAGGCCTCCTGTCTCCAAGGGAAAGCATAGCTTTTTATGAGATCTAGTACCTATATGGCAATTTTAATCTATATTTAAGGGAGCTGCCATCAATTTGTATAAAGAGAGAAGAGATTATTTGAAAATTCCTTTGGACTAAGGGAAAAAAAAGCCAAATGTAGTGGTACATGCCTATAATCCCTGCACTCAATTATATCTTTCAAAAATTTAAACTTTATGTAGAAGTTAGGTTAGTTTGACCAATAAACCAATATAAAAATTTTAGCAAATTTAGACTAAATAGTCTCTTGATTAAAAAATCATTTTAAAAGTACTTTTAAGGCTGGGGATTTAGCTCAGTGACAGAGTACATGCTTAGCACAAGGCCTTGAGTTCCATCTCCAGCAATAACAAAAATACTATTAGGTGTGGTACTATATGTCTTAGTCTGAGCTGCTATAACAAAATATCATAGGGCTGGGGATTTAGTTTAGTGGTTCCGGTGCTTGCCTTGCAAGCACAAGGTCCAGAGTTCCATCCCCAGTACAAAATAAATATATATATATATATATATATATATATATATATATATATATAAAGTAGATGGCTTACCAGTTATAGAAATTTATTCCTTCCAGTTCTGAAGGCTGGAATTCTGAGATGGTGATGTCGGCATGGTTCAGTTCTGGTGAGAGTCCTCTCCTAGGGCCATCTCCTGCAGTATGCACAGTAGGTCATTACTCTTATTAAGGCCCCGATCCCATTCCTGAGGGCTCTACCCTCATGACCTAATTACCTCCCACAGGTACCACCTCCAAACACCATGACCCTGGTGATTAAATTTCAGCTCATGAATTTGGGGAGTGGCATAAATATTCATTTATACACTGTCGATTTTACACTTAACACTAATAAAGGAAAGAAAATGTTTAGTAATTTCTGTCTTAAACCAAAATTATTAAACTTATCTGAATTTTCCAAGATTCATCTTAATAATAAAATTCTGAATTTTTAAAGATGTTTCTGAACTAGTAGTTTCTATACGAGTGATTTTTTTTTTTCTTTAAAATGTAGCAAAGCATTTTGCTTCATTTTGTTGTGTTTGTGTGTGGTACTAGGGATTGGACCCAGGGCCTTCACACTGAGCTACGTCTCCAGACTTTAAAATTTTTTAAATTTTAAGACAAGGTCTCATTAATTCACTGTGTTACCCAGGGTGAGCTCAAACTTAAATCTTCCTGCCTCAGTCTTCCAGAGTGCTGAAATAACAGGCTTGTAACACCAGGCCTACCTTGGATTAAAGATTATTTTTAAAAATCTCTACTAATCTGGGAACTATTCTCTCTAGAATTACTTATCTCTACAAATAAAATCAGAGTTCCTTAAAACAGATTCACTAATGTATATTGTAGAGAATAGGGAAACATGTCATAGATACCCAATGAGTGAGCAAGGTTTTCTCAATTACAGATACACAAACATTCTGAGTTTCCGATCTATTTCAGTCATAAAGCAAAAGTAAAATTACCAGAGTTCAGATCTCATCAATGACCTGACCTTCCCAGACAGCAAAATATCCTTAACTTATTAAGGATCTCAAAACACAAATAGAAATAAACCAGGTCCTCTCTTACTACTTAACTGAAGCAATAACTGACAGTCATCAAGTGGACCCTAATAAACACATAGCTCCAATCATTGCTCAGTCCCAGCGTGTATGCACTTATGCCTGAACCAGAAACAAAACACAAAAATCAGTAGAGAGGGGAAAACGTACATCGATAGTCAAGAAAATCTATAAAGTCCTTTCTGTGTGAAACTCATCCTGAGAGCTGAGGCCATGGACTTAGATGCTCACAAAGGACTCATCAGATAGAACTAAACCACACTGCTTGAGAGCAGCACTTGAAGATCTATTTAGGCCAAGCATCTCTGTTCAGCTCTCAGGATGTCTCACACATGCTAGGTAGCACTTGAACACTGAGCTACATCCCCACCCGAAAGTACAGAACTTTTAAGTGAAATAAGTATGCAATATTGTTTCTACATTTGGTACCTCAAAAATAAGTATTTATTTCATTGATTCTAAAGCCCATGTTTCATATTAACATCCCAGTAATCTGGATAAGCTTTATGTTAACAGCCATTGGCTACTTTTTTCAATTTGTCATTCTTTTAATTGATGTTATCTTAGGTGAAATGTACTGTTGTGTCATGGAAATGCTATTCCATGACATAATAAAAATATTAAAGCAGACTATACACAGCTTAGATACTGAATGCTAACGAATCTATGTCTATAATTCTAGGAGGTTAATTCAGGCTTTGAACAAAACTGTTAATCTCAAACTGGCCTTGAACTCAAAATTCTTCTGCCTCAGCCTAAGGCAGAACTAAACCTAAGAATTAACCCTGAACTAACCCTGAGAGAAAAATTTGTCCTTTACAAAATAACAGGTGTGGCTTTGGGTGTAAGGTGAACAAAGGAGATACAGCACCAAATAAAAGAAATACTGTATAGATGTGAACCACAGGTATAGGTTTGTGTGTGTGTGCTTTGTTTTTTTCTTTTGCAGTACTGAGGATCCAATCTAGGAGGGCTCTACCTCTGAGCTACATCCCCAGCTTTTTTTCTTTCTTTTTATTTTGAGACAGTATCTCACTGAGTTGCCCAAGCTGGACTCAAACTTGGGATCCTCCTCCCTGACCCACTGAAGAGCTGGGATTACAGGCATGTGTCACCATGCCCAGCTCACGTGCATAGCTTTAAATTTTCTAACAAGTCACATTAAAAAAAAAAAGTAGACAGGTGAAATCAGTTTTACGCATTCATTTTATTTAACCTAGTTTATCCATAAGATCATCTCAACAATATATACATTTTTGTTTGTTTTTTGGTACCAGGGATCGAACTTGGGACCTTGTGCTTGTGAGGCAGGCGCCAGAACCACTGAGCTAAATCCCCAACCCATCAATATATACTTTTAAATGATTAATATTTTACATTCCTTTTTTCCCCTAAGTCTTCAAAATAGGGTGTGTATTCAGAGCATATCTCATTTCAGACTGGCCACAGTTCAAGTGGTTCATGTGACTCTCTTAGACATCTAGGGTCTACAGAGAAAGATAAACTTGTCAATCAGTATTAGTGTTTTATAGGTCTCTATTTTTGGAAGTTTTTGTTCTTTGAAGAGACAAGTCATATCAAACTTAAACCTACCAGAATATTCAGTAAAAAGTTAAGCATGCTAAGCACAAACTCTACCACTGACCTACAATACCAGTTTACATGTCTTAACATTTAACAGTTAAAATACATGCTAATAAACTGTATTCTATCCTTCAGCTTTCCTAGTTATACCTTCATGACAACCCAGAAAGCCAGGTTCAGATTTAGACTGACTGGAATTCTTAAAAGTCCCATGCTAGAAAGCTACACAGTAGAAACAGCCGTCTCCTGCTCTGTCCCCCACCTTGTCCCACTCCTGGCTCCTGTGTCACAGTAGGCTGTATGCTTATGTGGACATCTCAGACTATACACATCCAAACTCTTTAGATATCCAACTTAGAGCAGCATCTTAGCTAACCCTTGTGGAAGTGGACTATGGAGCCATTTGGACAGGAACCCCAGGGTAGATTCAAGGTGTCCTGAAATAAAATCTAGAGGAGGGGAGAGAGATCCCGGGGGCAATGTCCACTTGGCTCCAGCAACTCCTTGCCACATGTGGGGAAATGCTGGCTGGAGGAGGACCAGAGAAGACCCCTCTATGGATGGGGCCCAGGCCAAGAATCCACCCTCCCTGTGTCTAAGAATGGTACTCTAAAAAATAATGATAAAAGATTTCCAGGACTGATGAAATAAGGCCAAATATAGGATGTTCATCCAGTATCTAGTAAAAGAAAGAAAAATAACTCCACAGTTAGACACACCTTCATGAAATTACACAAAACAGAACATCAAGAAAATATCTTAAAAGCAACCAAAGAGAAAAATCATGCACAAAAAACAACACTGACAGCTATCTTTTCAATAGCACTTATGTATTATCCTTCAAGTGTTGACAAAAAGCAACTGTCAACTGAGAACTCTGAACACAAGATCTTTGAAGACTCATCTGTGGTGAAATAAAGGCATTGTCAGATAAAACAAATTAGAGTTTATGACCAAAACTCATTACAGGAAGAAAAAATGACTCCAAAAGGATAGTGTGTTACCAATAAAAGGATATACAGTTAAAAAAAAAAAAAAGAAATTTATCCAACCTGGAAAAAAAAAAGGATAGTGTGATATACAAGAGGAAATAGTTGAGTGAATTGATGAACATATATTTAAAAAATTGGCCTACATTAAGACAATGATAATATAATGTCTATGTTAAGACAATAAACTAAAAAAAATGAGGGTGACTGGTCTGTTCTAAGGTTCTTATGTTCTTGGCAGAGAAAGTTCCATTACTAACTTTAGATAGTTTTTCCGTCATGGGGACTGAATCCAGGGCCTTTTCACTGAGCTACATCCTCCGCCCCTTAAAAAAAAATTTATTTTGAGACAGGGTCTTGCTAAGTGGCCCAAGCTGGGCTCAAACCTGCCATTCCTCCAGCCTCAGCCTCACACAGTGCAGGGATTATAGGCATGGACCACACCGGGCTAATTTTAGAGATTTTTAAGTGTACAAGGTAAATTTCAAAACAATCACTAAGAGAATTATAATTTGTAACTTATAAACCAGAAGAATAGAAAAACATAGAATAAGAAAATAGATTATTAAAACATAATTGTTTTTTCTAGTGGCAAAAAAGGCCAGCCAGATGAGATGGCACACACCTGCAATCTCAGCTACTTGGGAGGCTCGAGGCAGGACGACAGTGAGTTCGAAGTCAGCGGGGGCAGCTTAATGAGATCTTTCTCATTAAGAAATAAAAAGGTAAATAAAAGGGTTAGGGATGTAGCTCAGTGGTGAACCCCTGGATTCAAGCCCCAGTATCACACACGCAAAAAAAGTCCAAAACAAAAGCATAGGAAATGTGAAACAAATAGCAAAAAGTTAAATACAAAAACAAGTCCAATACAATACATGAGGTTGCCAGTTAAAAGTACTCCAGGTAAATTCAGCCATATTTTGTTTATCGGGCACATTCTAAAACCTAAGGATGCAGAATACATAAAGTTTCAAAAGAAAAAGTTGAAAAAAATCGCAAGGTAGCAACTAACCAAAAGAAAGCTAGGGAAATTACATTCAAAAAGTAGCTCTTAAACGCATTTACTGGAGTTAGTGATGGTCAACACCTAATGATAAAAGGCTCAACTCGCCAAAAATAGGTAACAATCCTAAACTCAGGTATTTTTAAATAAAATAGTCCCTAGGTATAAACGGAAAAAATCATCAGAATTATAGAGAGTAAAATCTACCATCATAGTACAATCAAGACAGCCCACTATATGTCATTATGTCGGTAATGCTTCTCCAAATCGTAAAACAACGCACTCTTATGAGAACAGGATGCCAATTATTTTCTAACAAGTGCTCAAAAACACCAAAATGTAAAAGACAAGAACACACGAATGAAACAGCTAGCAGCTTGGAAATCTGTAGAAAGCTCCCAGGACCGTTTTTTTTTTTTTTTTGAAAAGTAAGGTCCAAAGATTTTAATTAATTACTGTGGTAACACTTCCTCAAGTGGTGGGGAGAAAGAGGGAGACACAGCACTGGGCCGGAACGGTCGAAGCAAAACCACAGGGAACTTCAACATCCCCTTAATCTAAAAATACTTACTGAACACTTACTACATGCAAGCAGGCATTCTACTAATTAATCGTTAGTTCTAGCCTTCAAAGTAGAAAGTGCCTTAAAAACTATTTAACTGCATTGAGATATTTAAATGCTACTTAAAACTGATTTAGATAAGTAGAAAGGATTTTAAATCGAGAAAATAGCTGCCACGGACTTTTGGCACAGGCATCGACGACACCTAGGAAGAGCCCGTGGGGTCCTAGAGCAGTCACTGCTCCGCGCTTCAGGCGAGAATGTGGTCTGCTATGTCGGGCGTGGAAGGGGCCTGATGGGGTCTGTCTGCGCAGGCGCGAGCCTCCTAACTACCCGGGAACCCGCGGGGCTCTCTCTTTTGATTCTCGGACATGGTGAGTGCTGGTTTCTTCTCTGGAGCTCTTCGGGTTTGTCCGGAAGAGACGGGGTGGTGTGTTGTTGAGCACTGTAGTCACCGTACGGTTGTCTGCCAAGTATTAGAGAGTGGTTAAGACGCAAGCCTTGGAAGGCTTCTGGAGAGCTCGAAGGGTGGATTACTCAGCGCTTCCTGCAGACCTCGCCGGCCCAGCTGCCGCTTCTAATTTTATCTAGGCTTCGTCCCATTGGGCGGGCCTCCTAGGATTCAGCGATCCGATTTCTTAATCCCCAAAAGCCAAGGTTCATTCGTGACTTTCTCCCCCCCATATTATGCATGTGTAGTTTTATATATTGTCCTTACATTTGAATTTTGGCTCGAGGAAATCCTAAAGTCGTTAGTAGTATAGTCTCGCTTGAAGTCTTTGTAAATTTTAAATTGAATCGCCAGGAAATTTGCTACTCGTTATATTTGTTAATAGTGAAGACCTACGTACTGATTACAGTGTACTCTTAATTACAAGGATGTAGATACGTGAAAACCAGAGCAGCATCCTCAGCACCTGGGGACTTGTTGCTAATACAGAGCCTCTGGTTAAAGGTGAACATGGGAGCTAATAAAACTGCTTACTTGGAAATGAGAAAAACTTATAGAAGGAGCCTTGGAACCCGATTTTGGATAAGCAAGAGTTTGTCTGCAGGTTTCGGTTAGCCAGACTTAAAAACATTTCCTTCTGTAAAATGGAAAAATAGGAACAAAATCTTTGTAAATAGGGAGGAATGGAGGGGTTGAAGGGAGGGCTGGGCAAGGGTGAAAAATAAGAACCAAGAGAGATTATGTAAAGGTGCAAATTTCCAATGGTGAGTGTCATTATATTGTATACCTAAAATGTACCAATGATTAGAATGAATAATCGATAATGCAAAATAGGAAGAAAGGTCCAAAGGGGTAGGGGTAGTGGGAGGGGCAGGGGAAAGGAAAGAAGGGAAAGGAAAAATGATGAGAAATGGAAAAAATGGAAATAAAGTCTTTGTAAATAGGAAAGGGTGGAGGGGGTGAAGGGAGGGCTAGGAATAGGGAAAAAATAACCAAGATGCATTATGTAAAGGTACAATTCCCAATGAGAAATGTAATTGTGTTGTATACCTAAAATGTACCAATAAAAGAATTTAACAACAGCATAAACCATTTCCTTCTGTATACACTGCACGTGTTAACTTGTTTGGTAAGCTTTGATAACTTTATAACTCAAAGGATAAGCAACAAATTCAGGTGGTAATTTTTGGGTCAGTGATGAGCTGGCATGTATTCTGAATCTGAAGTTGATTATTACTACTTTAGCTCTAGAATTACTCTGAGACCTGAAAATACCTGAATCGTGGCTTAAGTATTAATACTTTTATCTGCTTTTTTTCCTGTATGTATTGAATATATGCTAAGGAGCAGGACATAAAATGTGGATAAGTCACATCTTTCTATTTTGAAAGGGCACCCCACAGAAGGACGTTATTATCAAGTCTGATGCACCTGACACCCTTTTATTGGAGAAACATGCAGATTATATTGCATCCTATGGATCAAAGAAAGATGATTATGTATGTATGATTTTATGTTAAAGCTTTTCATAAAAAAATCTTGACAGATACAAGCAGTAGTGCAATATTTATGTACTAATCTTACTAGTAATTGGAGGAATTGCCAGAAAGGGTAGATCATGGTTTTGGTGTATAAAATTGGTTCCTATCTTTGTAGTTGGGGTAATATTTTCAAGGTCAATGATGTATTGGCATGTATTATCTGATTTACGGCTGATGTGTATTAACACTTTAGCTCTAGAATTACACTGAGACCTTGAAATGATTTTACCTGAAGATTTTATACTTAATAGCTTTCCTTTCTGGGGCAGTCTTAGCACAAGAATAAAGAACTTGTCTTAAGTATTTTTCCCTGAGTATCCAAAACAACTGGATTTTTGCCATCTTGGGGAACAAAGATCCATACTTTAAAATAGCCACTAAGTATGGTGGTGCGTACTTATAATCTCAGCCCTCACCCTGGAGCAGCAAGATTGCCTCCACCTCAGGACCCGGGCTGCATATTTATACCCTGGCTCAAATAAATGAAGCTTCTAAAGTGATGCGTTAACTGCAACAAAAATGTCGCTGGAATCCATACTAATTTTTGTGTTTCCTTTAGCCACTTTTATCTAGGCATAAACGTGAACTTTCTGTGTGCTTAGGCTATTTATATTTTCAAATTTCATGTCATTTAACAATAGATTTTGTACAGAGAATAAAAGAATGAATGTTTGATGAGTATGTTATCAGTACTCTGAAATACCCAGAACTTTATTGATGAAAATGGTAAACTATTTTGTTTAACTCATTTTATCTTTGGCACTTGGTCAGTACTAAAGCCCTGTCTGTATGTAGTAGTATCAGCCATAGATACCATGCTAAGTTTGTAACTGAAACGTATCTCTTGTCAAAAATTCAAATTGACCTATTTAAGAAATTGTTTTAGGAGTACTGCATGTCTGAGTACTTGAGAATGAGTGGCGTCTATTGGGGTTTGACGGTGATGGACCTCATGGGACAACTTGATCGCATGAATAGAGAAGAAATTCTGACATTTATTAAGTCCTGCCAACATGAGTGTGGTGGAATAAGTGCTAGCATTGGGCATGATCCTCATCTTTTGTATACTCTCAGTGCTGTCCAGGTAAATACTTAAAATTCAGTCTTGATACTCTTCTTTCTTGGGTGTCAGGAATTGAAATTGTTTTAAGAAGAAGACAAAATAAGTTTTGTTGATGAACTGTGTTAGGCAAGGTCGGTGATGTGATGGCATGTATTAGCTGAATGTGCAGCTGATGTGAATTCTAAAATTACTCTGAGACCTTGGAGGACAATTTTTAACTGTTATATGAGACTTTGAAAATAACCAGTTTTAGGGGCCGGGGATTTAGCTCAGTGGTTCTGCCGCCTGCCTCGAAAGCACCAGAGTTCAATCCCCGGTACTGGGGAAAAAAAAAAAATAACCAGTTTTATTTCGATGTTAGTGAATATACACGTGACGGTTTAAAGTCCAACTATTTTAGAATGCCAAGTCAGTTTGTATGTAGAGGAATGCTTTGCAGTTAAATGTTTGGAAATGTTGATAAAATACGTTTTTCTTGAGTAACATTATAGTCTGGATATTTGAGGACAGTTGACAGTGTCAGTAGACTAAAAGAAATATTACCCTAAACAACTTAGGATAGATAGCAGCAGAACAAATTTGCAAGGTTATTTTCTAAATAATTTGTCTTTTGTATTACAGATTCTTACTCTGTATGATAGTGTTAATGTTATTGACGTAAATAAAGTTGTGGAATATGTGCAGAGTCTACAGAAAGAAGATGGTTCCTTTGCTGGAGACAATTGGGGTAAAGTCAGATTTAGTCCTCAGTACCCAGAATTCAATATTAAAATGTCCTGGCCTTGTTAGTAACCAATTGATAAGGAGATTTAAGTTTTTCATCTTTTCAGGTCCCACTAAGCAGCTGGTCTAACTGGCATTAATGGCCGGGCATGCTCTGTGGTAGCATACAGGAGCACTGGAACAGAGGGGGCCAGTCTAAAACATACGGTAGGTGAAATATTTTCCCCAGTATTGGGTGGCTTTGTAAAGTTAAAAGAAATAACATACTAAAAGGGGAAAAAAAAAATTACAAAATTACTGAGTATTTGAATGGAGGTAGTGGCTCGGATTTTATTTGATAAATGTAGATAATCTCTGCTTCAGGGCTGAACCCAGTGCAGGCCAGAGAGACCAGCTGCTTCATGGGATGTGGAAATCTACTTTTGTAAAGTAGGGTAAGTTTATTTGTATTATTAGAAATCCACTAATCTTTCACTTCTGTTTCTTTAACTTTCTGGTACTCTGTAAGCAACTTGAGATTATTTGCTGTTTTGTTTTTTTGTTTTTTTTGATTTGTTGTTATTTTTGACAGTTTTCTGTTACTTTCCTTGGAGGTGAAGGCATTTAATTTAAGGTGGAGCTTTTCTTTTGATTATATAATGTAAACTTTACGCCCAAATTGTTGGAAATTTAATGTGGTAGTTGCACAGATTTTGTTTGTAGGTAACTAGCACTATCAGAAATCTCTGGTGACATGTATGTTATCACTTTGTTATAGGAGAAATTGATACAAGATTCTCTTTTTGTGCGGTGGCAACTTTGGCTCTGTTGGTAAGCTTTGATGACTATTACATTGAGATGATTGATCATCCATGAATACTCTGGAATTTAGTGTTTTTTCCCTTCTGTTTGTAGGGGAAGCTTGATGCTATTAATGTGGAAAAGGCAATTGAATTTGTTCTATCTTGTATGAACTTTGATGGTGGGTTTGGCTGCAGACCAGGTTCTGAATCTCATGCTGGACAGGTAATTTATTAATGCAAATTAAAATTTAATATTGCTTCTTAAAGAGATTAGCAATGTAGTAAAATGGAGGGTCTGTTAGTTTCATTAAATATGAATGAAACGAATTTTACTATCGTGGGATATTACCTAAAAATTGTCTGATTGCTACTTAAGGAAAGCGTTCTTAAAATAAATAATTTATTCTAGGTAGGTGTGTGTTTGTTTTTGTGATACTGGGGATGGAACTCCTGACCTCGAGATTTTTGAGGCAGGTGTGGTGCCACTGAACAAAATCCCTAGACCCAAGGTTGTTACCCTATTAGATACCTCTTACCCAGGCAAACAAAAATAGGTTCATAGTTAGCCAAATACAGTTGGAGGAGGTAGTTGAACCCAGGACCTCTGACATCATGCTAGGTGCGCAGTCTTAATGTCACTGAGCCACATCCCCAGCCCTCCATTGATGTTTAGTTATGTAGGTGAAAATCATTTTAGCTTTGTCTGCCTTGTGAATAAGCACAACTTTGCGTCAGAGAACATTATATCGGTAAATAGTTGTAAAGTAATAAGGTATAAGGAGATAGAGTATTTAAGTACAAAATGGGGTTTTAGTAATTGAGTAGTTCTTAGTACCTTTACTTTCAAGAAATTATACACATGTACTTTATGTCTGTAATTTTAGATCTATTGTTGCACAGGATTCCTGGCTATTACTAGTCAGTTACATCAAGTAAATTCTGATTTACTTGGTTGGTGGCTTTGTGAACGACAGTTACCCTCAGGTGGACTGAATGGAAGACCAGAGAAGGTATTGTTTCATAAGCTACATTCTACGGTGCTCATCTTTCTAACTTTTGATAACTGCCTTGTCTGTTCCCTCTTGTCAGTTGAGTTTTTCTCCTTCCTCTATGAAGGGTACCAAAACACCTGCTTCTTGGAAAAAGTAGAACCTGCCTGGTTGAAATGGTCGTGAACCCTGGTGAACTTTTCCATATGATTTTTTTTTTTTCTTGATAGTACTGCAGAATCCAGGGTGTTCTACCCCATAGCTACATTCTCTTTCCCAGTCCTTTTGTTGTTTGAAGCAGGGTCTCCCAAAGTTGCCCAAGTTGGCCTTGTATTTTTCAGGCATTGAAATGAAGCTCTTTTTTCAAACCTTTTAGTCATGCATTAAAGGCTTGAAAGCTGATGGCCAGTAGCTTTACTTTTGTACATACTGTACATAAACCTTCATGTCCATTATGGCTCTGAAAACACAATTCATTTTTGCCAAATTAAAGATTTTTTTCCAGGCAGTTAAATTATTTGAATTTTTTTTTTTATTTTTTGAAAACCCAATAGTTGACATTTTGTTTTGGATATTGTTAATTTTCCTTCATGTTAGACAAGTCTGTAAAGGACCACACTTGAATACAAGTTAAAATAACTGATCCATATCCAAAATGTTCTCAAGTCTGAAAGTTGGAGGCTCTAACATGACTCCTTAAGGTAGAGAATTCTATACCTGATACCATGTTTAGGTCATGGTCTGAACACACGCACACAAGAAGTACTGTATAAAAGTAAGATTACCTTCAGGCTGTATATACAAAGTATATATGAAACACAACAGAACTATTTTTTACTGTTTACTAATGTAAAAACTGTAAGGCTGTAGGCTGGATTTGACTTACAGACTGTATAGCTTGCTATACCTCTGTCATATGAATTGGGACATGGTGGTATTGTACTTTGTCTGAGCTAATATATCTATATTTTTAAACTTTGCTTTCTCAGTGTGTATTTTGAGCACCTTAAGTAGGGAAATACCCATGGTGGTGTCTGCATAGGGTCTGATTTTTTAAAATCCTTGGGAACTGTCAAAATTGCTTTAATGTGCTTAATGAATTTTTCAGGAAGCTCATTAAGATGAAGAGTATTAGGGTGGTATATGCTGCCTTTCTTAACATATGTGACCACATTGTGAGGATCCAGGTTCTTGGTGAATTTCAAGCGGCTGTTTTATGCATCTGAATAGCACTTGTTGCTACTCTTAGGAAACAACATACCCCATGGATTTCATGAACCTTTATTATTAACGTCAGTTACAGGGCTCAGTTGGGCATTAATGAGGGATGCAGTCACCGAGTACTTGAAACTGTGGACATCTGTGTGGCCTGGAGCTTGGCGTTCTCTTTGCCCGTGATAGTTCTGAGCAAACTTTGCAGACACTTCCTGACAGCCCTGTTTTCCTCCTACTACTGTTGGGACAAGAGATTAGATTGAATTTACAAATTATTCATCAGCATAGAGAAAGGAATAAAATTGTGAAAACATTTGTAACATTTTGGTCTTTTTCCCTTTTAGTTGCCAGATGTTTGCTATTCATGGTGGGTTTTGGCTTCCCTAAAGATAATTGGAAGACTTCATTGGATTGATAGAGAGAAACTACGCAGTTTTATTTTAGCATGTCAAGATGAAGAAACTGGAGGTTTTGCAGACAGGCCAGGAGATATGGTAAGTGTATTTCTGACAAGTTTGAGTAAGTTGCTTTTTTCAGTCATGGATTACTTTCATGGTTCTAGTGATTTCCAGAAGTACATGAGGTACACTTGGCTGACACTGCAACTGTTGCCTTGAAAGCAGTATATACGAAGAAATTTCTTGTCACTTATTGCCAGAAATATTTTGAAAACTTTACAGTATATACACACACACATATATATAAACATAATTGGCTTCAATATAAATACTTACAAATGGGGTTTTTTGTTATCTTCATTGTAATAGTGTAAATCCTTGTGTTTTTCTTAATAGGTGGATCCTTTTCATACATTATTTGGCATTGCTGGATTGTCACTTCTGGGAGAAGAACAAATTAAACCTGTTAGTCCTGTTTTTTGCATGCCTGAAGAAGTGCTTCAGAGAGTGAATGTTCAGCCTGAACTAGTGAGCTAGATTCATTTGATAGAAAAGTGTAGTATAGTTTTTGCCATCAACATTTCTGTATTTGAAGTGGTTAATGAACCTAAAGATGTTTACTGTTCATATTTTGTATATTGTGTTAAATTAATTCTAATAAATTATATAATTATACATATTGTAAAATAAAGCCCTGTATTGTATTACAGCTTTAGATTTTCCGAAGTGCTATTTTTGGGGGGGTGGGGGGTACCAGGGATCGAACTCGGGTCCTTGCGCTTGCACAGCAGATGGCGAAGTGCTATTTTGATTAATTTTTTTTGTTCTTACATATATCTTACTCATCTCTGCTTAGCAAACTTAAGAAATTGGGTTCTGCTTTACTATCCCACGTGTTCCTTGTATCTTCTGTGAAAGTTAATGTAAATGGTTTCTGTCAAGAATGTTACTGATAAAAGTGGGTAAGATCCATATATGAATTAAAACGTGCACAAAGGTGGCTGAGACATGGGAATAATTTATAGGTTTGCATATAATTCTGGGTTGGTTGTAATTTAGGTAAATGGCAGTTTACCATCTTGGAATGGCTTTGCAGTTTAGACCTCACTAGAGCTTTTTGGGTCAAGGTTACAGAAGAGCTTGTCCTCCCCATGAAACAGTGACTTGGCACAACAGGGGCATCCCTAAGTTGACAGTAGTAGGAACTGAGTTACTAGAGACTGCTTGATCTGTCCATACCTCGCACCGTGTCTGGTCCTTACCGTGCCATGCACACAGCTCAACCATATGGGTGCTATCTTGTGAAAATACTGTTACTTGGTCACAAGACCTTAATAGGCGACTAAGTCTTCTATATTTAAAAATATGGGTAAAAGGGTGGAGATGAAGTGGTAGAATAAGTTTAGGAAAATACTACATTAAGTTGCTTTGAGAACTGAGTTCTGAGTTACGGTTAGCCCTAGTACTTGCAAGTTGGAGGCTAGACCTCAAATTGGGGTCTTGTGTATGTGGAAAGATAAAAGGGACCGGATGTGGGCAGTGCTTCCTGCCGATCTGCGCCTGCGCACTGTCCTCCCGCTCTTTTCCGGCGCTCCTTCCGGGCGCTGGGCGCTGGGCGCTGAGGAACCTCACGCCTGGGCTAGGGGAGGCTCTGGAGATGCTAAGGCCGGACGTCTCGTCCACCACCCCCTCCGCCCCCGCTGCGTCTTCCTCATCGTCGGGAGGGGCTCCCCTACAGGGTCTGCGCCCCTTTCTCGGGCCCCAGGAGATTCCTGCCAGCCGCCGTTCCGCGCAGGCCTCGATCTCCTCCCAGCCGGGCTCTTCGGGGGGCGCGGGCGATCGCAGCAGCAGCAGCAGCACCGGGTGCCCGGGCTTCCCCGAGAGCTGCCCGGCGCCAGGCAAGGGCGGGGACAGGGCGGGAGGCGGGGGTCCCTTTGGCTACTTTGGCAGCGCCGGGGCGGGGGCGGGGCCGCAGAAGTCCCGCCATGGCTTCCGGTGAGGACCGGAAAGGTGTGAGGCCCTGGGTGATGGAGAGGGACCTGCGCCGTGGAGGTGGTTGGGGCTCGTTTCCGAAAGTCATAACGCCCACACCCCCAGCGTGGACAGTTTGTGCTCAAGTTTCCTGAAGTGAGCCGAACAATGCATGCTGAATTTGAGTCCCCAGGTCCTTTGCTCCTGTGAAAATAGATTAAACTGAACATTACATCTAATCCAGGTGAATTATTGAGTCCCCGAAGCCGGGCGTTGCGCACGTCTGTAATCCCAGCAGTCTGGGAGGCTGAAGCAGGAGGATCGCAGGTTGGAGCCCAGGGTGGCCGACTTAGTGAGACCCTGTATCCAAAAAAGGGCTGGGGTGGAGCTTAGTGCAAAGGCCCTGGGTTCAATCCCCAGAACTTTCCACTTGAGTTCAACTAAAAGCCTCGGTGGCACCACGCCTGCCTTGCAAGCTCAAGGTCCTGAGTTCAGTCCCTGGCACGGGTTGGGGGGGGGGGGGGACACGGGACCTGAACATGCACACCCGTCATTGAGATGGCTGAGGCAGGAGGATAACTTGTGAGTTCGAGTCCAGCCTGGGCTACATAGCAAAACCCAGTCTCCAACCAATCAATCAATCTTAGACTGCATATTGAAGATTAGACAAGTGATAGAGATAAGCAAAGCAGGCCAAAGAGCGGCAGAGATGAATTTGAGCATAATGAGGGAGATATCTATCCATCTGACCTTAGAAACTTCAAGAAGGCAGTAGGAAACAGGAAGGCAAAACTGAAATAGGAATCTAGAGTATAGATAAGATCTGAGCTTGCATTGCAATAGTATGGGAAAAGGTGGTGTTGCTTTAGTCATAAATGAAGAGTGACAGAATATGCAATACGTAATTCTGCCCCTTACCCCCTCTGGGCCATCGTAGGCACTCATAGTTTTATGTCTGACATTACATCAAACTCCTAGGTATTCTTCCAAGTTTGGAATACCACCATATATATATGGAAAGGTATACTGTCCCTTACAGTACAATCAATGAGTGGCTCTATATCTGCAGGTACAAGATCAAATTCTTTAAAAGGATGTCCAAGGGTTGTTTCCATTCCTTATAGCTTTATCTCTCAGCAGTTTTCAATATTTGCCCTACTTTCTAACAAAATGGAACCATTTGCCCTTCTCCAAGGCAACCTGCATGTTCACATTGTCAATATATCCTCTGAAATGCTTTGTGCATTTATTTTCATCAGTAATAACACCCACTAATTAATGTACTTCTTACTAGGCATATGGTAACTCTGATCCTCACAATAATTCTGCAGAGTAGATTTTTTAAAAGTCCATTTTTCTTTCGTCTTACAAAGAGAATCAAAGCCCAAATTGGTGAACCAAGTCTCAAATTACATTAGAAACTGAAAATAATAATGATCTATGTTCTCCAGGAATTTATGGTTCAGTAGGGAAGACATTAAAAATCCACAAAAGCACTTTCAAACAATTACTTATCTGAAGTATTTACAATTTTCAAGAGATTTATAAGTAAAGTGGGGGAACAAAAGTGGAACAAGAACTTGAGCTGATCTTAAAGTAGGACAAAGAATGCCTAGGAGGAGGAAGAGAAAAGAAACTAGAGCATTTTGAGAGAAAAACATGCGAAGGCACAGAAATAACAGGTACAACTGCAAATAATATTTGACTAGAGCAGGAATGTGATCTAATGTAGATACATTTGGAGTCCTTGAAGGTATTAGATCTGAGCAGCAAATAACTTGTCCTGCATGCAAACACCAAGTTTCCTCTGGTTTTGGTAACTGGATAGATGACAGCCGCTGTTTCCTGATAAGGGGAAATTTGTAAGAAGCAACTTGCAGAGAAATGGTAATAAGTTCTGTTATGGGCAAATTGAGTGAAAACTCTCTGAGATATCCATATATTAAGATACTAGAACTAAGAAGAGAAACGTGGAAGAGACGTAGATTTTAAAGTTACCACTATATTTAAGGTGAGAGGTAAGAATGTGAAGAAAACAGCAAAATAAAGTCAAAGAAGTTGGAAGAGAACTAAGATAGGTGAATAAATTTAAAGAAAGGGCTTAGACTCTACAGTAACTGGAAAACAAGAAACATCTCTGTCTCCAGTTTCTAGTACCCAACCCCTTTCTTACCTCTAAATTTATAGATGTTCATGGAGCATATTTTATTCTGATTCTATGCATCTTCAATTATGATACTCCTGCACCCTGTCTACACCTTTGTGAATATTCCCTTTATCAAACTCTCTCCAAATTACCCTAGTTTGAATGTGTCATTGATTCCTGCTTCAACCCATACAAAGAAGCTAGAATTTATCTTATGGTTGGTGTAGAGAAACAACTGTGAGAAAGGGAGATAAATGATCAAATTTGGTTTTCAAAATAATCACTGATGATGTGAAAGAGATCAAACAGTTGTAACACTAGAAGAAAAGAATAAACCTGAAGAAGATAAATGCTTAAAATGGGTTGATAGGATGAGAGAGGTATAGAAGTGTTAAAGATCTTGAGGGGGAAAAAGAATTATAGGACTTGGTAATTCTGTTTGGGTGTTAATATTGCTAAGAGAGGGGCTAATGACTAAGTTTATGACTTGGGTGACAAAGTGATTCAGTTGATCATGGGTGTTAATAAAGAGTTAAGTATTTGGGAGAGGATAACAAGTTCACTTTTGGATATTTAGAAGTTCTTGGAAGATAGCTAAAGGTTTATGTTCAATAAATAGATATAGTGATCTGTGAGGATAGAAATGTTCCATATCTATCCTTTCCAATATGGTAACGTAGCCAAAAGTGGCCTTGATCATTTGAAATGTAGCTAGTATGACTGAGGAATTATCAATTTTATTTCATTTTTATTTAATCAACTAGCTCATGCAGCTGTTAGCTATTATATTAAACAATGTAGATGTAGTGCTAAGAATGGTTTTTGCATTTTTAAAGGTTTGAAAAATCGAAAGAAGAATACTTTGTGACATGTGAAAATTACATAAAATTCAGATTTTAGTATCTTAGAAGGAAAGTTTTATTGAAACGCAGCAATGCTCATTTGTGAATTTTGTTTTATCTTGTTTTGGTTTTTTTTGGTACTGGGAATCGAACTCAGACCTTGTGCTTGCCAGGCAAGTGTGGCACCACTGAGCTAACTCCCCGCCCCTCATTTGTAAATTTTTAATGACTCTCTATTTGACTATCTCTTTGATCTCTCTGTTTGACTATACTTTCCTACAGTATAGTCAGAGTTGGATAATTTTGACAGTGATGATATGGTCCATAAAGCCTAAAATACCTGGTATCTGGTACCACGTTACACAAATGTTGTTTGTAAACAATTTGGATTGCAAACAGAAGCGTTTGGCAAAACTTTGTTTTTGTTTACGAACTGCATCAGGTGACAAACAAGACCATGGCCATCTTTCCCTCAAGAACACGAATGTGGGCATCTTTTCCAAAATTGTAGAACAAACTTAAGTTTGAACAAGTATACTTGCCATCTGGCCCTTACTAACACCTGGTATGGGAGATGAATCAGGATTGTGTATGAAGATTTGAGAGTTGTCAGGAAATAGATGTCAGTTGAAACCAAGAGAACAGATGTGATGCTCAGAAAAATGTATAATGTTGATTTGTGAGAGAAGGTTTGAAAGTATAGAACCCTGCAAGCCAACAGTAAAGAAGACAAAAACTGGATCTCACAAAGAAAACCATTAAGTAGTTCAAGGAGAACCAAGGTATACAGTTGCCCAAAGGAAAGGGGAGAAAAGAGCCCTCATTTTTCCCCCAGGAACTTTTTGTGCCAGAACACTTTGTGGCTCTCTATGTACCTTGTTTTAAATTTTATAGCAACATTATAAGATAATTTATAATAACGAGTAAGTACTTAAAAAGGAACTGAAGCCAAGTTGAGTCTGAAACTCTTTAAAATACAATTTGCGAGGCAGAAGTTTCAGTGTGGAAGTCAATGGAGGAAGAGAGCTAATAATTACTACACAAATTAAATATGTGTAGTGTGTGAAGATTAGAAGGTAATTTATGATTTTTTTTAAATTTATGATTTTTAACAAGAGTAGTCTTGGTGAACTTGTAGAAAGATAAGCCATATTAGCATATTTGAGTACCAGACTATGTCATTAAGCTTGTCATAATTTGTTTTATTAAGTCTTTATCAGATTAAGTATAGCAAGTAGATAAGATATAAACATTGGGATTAATACATCATTGCATAATTCTAATCTTTAAGAATTAATACTTCATTGTTCAAATTTAGGTTCCTACTTTGGAAACAAAAGATCTTACGCAGCAAATGTAGTTACATCAAATTTTACTTTTGGTACCAGCTCATCTTCTGCACGAGAAACTAATTGTCCTCAAGTACTTAAAACTCCATTGTCTGCTGGAAATCCCCAGAGATCAGGTTACAAAAGTTGGACACCACAAATGGGACATTCAGGTAAAAATAAATACATTCATTGCAGTGACTTTATCCATAATTTCAGTCTAGGTTAATAAGGTTATGCACAGTTCTGGTATTTTTTGTTACTAAATGTACTCCAATATTTTAACCATTTTGACAAAAGATCAGAAAGATATCTCTATTATACATGATATTCATTTAAATGTAAAAGCTGATCCTTATAAAAGTACTAGATGTTTGTTGATTTGGAGACAAGTCTTGCTATGTGGCCCAGGCTGGCCTTGAACTCCTGCCTCAGCTTCTCAAGTAAGTGAAACTATAGATGTATGTCACTGCACGCCTGAGTGGTGTTTTTTATTTGTCTGTTTTTGAAGTCAAATTTCAATTTTTATCTTTACTAGATTTTCTTTATTTTTCTTTTTTCATTTTGTTTTGCTTTCTGAGAGAATCTTGCTATAATCCAAGCTGATCTCTAACTTACTATGTAGCCCAGGCTGGCCTTGAACTCATGATCCTCCTGCTTCAGTCTCCACCTACTAAATTTTCTTGAGACTAAATGGATGAAATAGTTTTTCATGTATAATAGTTCTCTAAGGTACATACAAAGAAACAGGCTGAGCTGCTGGATGGACCGCTGGTTATATTCCTAGGCCATAGGTATTGGTGTTTTAGTTCAGCAGTTGGAAAGAGTGAAATTGAAAGAATGGGACCATGGTTATGTGGATCAGGATGGATGGATCAACTGCTATGCTCAGTAGAAATGCTTAGTTGATATTTGCCTACCTGCCTGCTTGGATTCCAGGAGTAGGCTTGAGGCTGAGGTGAGTGTTGATTAAACTCCAGAGTGTGTGTACTCCTGTTTGTACATGCTGTTTGTTATGGTGGTTATGTCTTTCTCTGGGTGGGCTTGGGTATGGCCTTTGAGGAGTGGAAGCTCTGGTTAAGCCTCCAGGGGTGTAACAACTACTGCCTGCTTCTTATACTTGCAGTGGTCATGTTCTTGCCTGTATGGGGTCTGGATTATTATTCTCTATTTAGAAGAATCATGTCTCTGATCTTTGTTTTTCCACATAAATTTTGGACCACCAAAAAACTTAACTGAGATTTTGATTGAAATTGCACTTGTACTGAGACAATAAATGCATTTACAAAGAACTGCAATATTGAGTCTTTTCATTCCTGAATATGACACATTTCTCCATTTAAGGAATAGTGTAGTATACTCTGGGGATGTGGCTGGATCAGATCACCACCAGATTCCCTGCTCTCATATGCTGCTGACTCACCATGCTACAGTAAAGACTGTAGGCAGAGCCTCTTTTATCCTAGAAGGTTCATCTAGGGCCTTTTGCTCAAAAAACTTACACTGTGGTCACTTTAAAGGAGAAATGCTTTAGGCATTCTATCATCTATTGTAGACTTTGTATTAAAGAATGAATTTGGAGCTAAAAGATAATAAATTGATAATTGGCCTTACTCCTTTGTCTACTTAACTTCCATACACATTTGGACTCCTTTACTACAACAAAACAATTCTATATTTCTACCTAATAAAACACATCTATCCTTCTTCAAACAAAAGTTCTCACTTTTCCCCTAAATGAGAAGACTCAGTCACAGTAGTGAGTGATTTTGTACTAGTTACTGTATTTATAATTCAGTCATGATGCTATCGAATATTCTGTTACCCGAGACTAAATTGTAAAATTAATCTCCAGTAATTTATGCATAAATTTTTTAGATTGAAGTAAGAGTGAAAGAAGTGGTTATGGGTGTCTGGCGCAGGTCTGGAGGGCTAGCAGTCTCCCATATGGCCCTGCCCTCTTCTCTGGCCCGTCTCCAGGTCTTCGTTCTTAGTCCAGTGAGGAATGGAGAAGTGGGGCAGGGTTGGCTCAAAGCCACCTTGGAAAATGGGGCAGTCAGGGATGAAACAAATGTGAAGCCAAGGTTTAATTCTGATATTGGGAATGCAGGGAAAGCTACCTTGTGCTACCATGTGTACTTGTGGGCCTTTAGGAAGGGCACTCATAATTGTAGGAATAGGCTGGTTTCTAAAAGTAACTGTTTCACTGATTAGTGAAATCTAGGCCAGTCAGGGTCTTACCCTTTGTTTCTGGGGTGAGAAAAGGACCATGAGGGCTAGGGGCACATAATACACGTAACAGTTCCACAAGGGCCAGCTTCCTCAAGTACACTGTCCACAGTCAGCATGTGGTCATTTTATAAGTGTCAGCCCCCAGCTTGTGCCCTACGTCATCCCTGCCTATGCTCCGTCTAACTGTCCCTGCATCCCCCCTCTGACTTGATCATCTTACTGCTAGAGGGTTAGTGGACACCCCTGGAACATTACTGGAAACCTCTGCAGTAGGCACCAGTCTCTTGCTCATTGTATGATGTAGGTCTGAGAAAAAAACTGAAAGAACAAAGAGAGACAGAAAACGAGATATCAGGATGACCAATGCCGGTACCACCGAAAAAGGCACTGACCAGTCCAAGCCACTGATTTTTATTGGTAATCAATTAGGGTAAAGGCGAGCTCCATGAAAGGGCAGAACTACATGCAAGGAAGCACAATCGTGTGGTCTCTATAGAAATTAATGTAAGCAAGCCTCAAAGGACAAGACAAAGCATTCTCAAATTAGAACAGAACAGACAAACTATACGGTTGTTATTAGGACATTGTCCTTCCAGTAAAAAGGTTTTAGATGTGGGAATGGAATTTGGAGGCGAGTTACTCTGACTTTGGTACATAGGCTTTGGCCGAACTCATTTCTCAAAAGAAGCCGATTGTGGAGTTAACTCTTCACAGCCTGCACTGCTTACAGACTGCTTTGGGCATAGTCAATATTGCAGTCTCCTGCTTAGGGGAACAGAGTGATGGCTGCTCTGACTGCTTCCTGCTGGCTAGAGGCAAATGGGAGGCAGGTGATGTCAGTCGACAGCATTAGTCTAAGTGGCTGCCGTGGAAGGAGGATGGTAGCTCCATGGCAGGTTCCATCTGTGGGACTACCTGCATTTTGATAGCATTCCTCTGAAGTGAAGCGAACAAGGCGGTTAAGAATACAGGGGCCAAGCAAACAAAAATAAAAGTATTAGTGGAGGAAGAAGCCAGGCTGAGATGGGAGGCAATCATGACTTAATCTGATTTAGCAACTCATTATGGGGAAGTGCCCTACTTCAGAGGAAACTTAAAGAAGGGAGCAATAGCTTATACAGATACAAGTGTGAAACCTCAGACTGTCAGCTTGGTGTTTGCTGTGACACAGGGGCCGCAACTCCTCTACTGAAGGGCCCGGTTGCTTATCTAATCCCACCTAAGGGTCTCAGCTGTCCCTACAGTTAGTTGGTAGAAATAAATGTGTGCATATACCGTATTTCCCACAAAATAATACCTAACCAGAAAATAAGCCCTAGCATGATTTTTCAGGATGCTCATAATGTAAGTCTTACCCCAAAATAAGCCCCAGTTAAGATAGACAGATGCATTAATACATCTGTTGCAATACATGATGGACATACTGAATTACGTAATAATAATAGTAGTAATATATAATTAAATAATATTCTTGACAGTATCACTTAAAATAAATGATAATATAAATTAAAATTAAGTATTTGTAAATACCCAAGCAGGAGACTTTGGACAAGAGGTAAACACCTATGTGAACAGAAGAACTCGAGATTTACTGCTGAATGACCAATTATAATATTATTTATCACAGAGCAATGACAGCATAAACTCTTTTTTAGTTAGTTTTAGAGATGTCTTCTGAATATCCACAGGAACTTGGTGATTCTTTTCTAGTGAACAGTAGGGAGGTTACAGCTGGATGTGATGGTGCACTCCTAAGGCCCCAACTGCTTTGCAGGCTGAGGTGGGAGGAGGATTGAGTCCACAAGTTCAAAATCAGCTGCAGCTGGAAATGTATTAAAAAGGAGGAAGGAGGTCATAGTGTGTAGCAGAGCTTCCACTGATCTCTATATGGTGAATTAATCATCAATTTAATCACCATTTATATATAACATAGCTTTCATGAGGAAAGGCTTCCAAGATTTAAACATGATAGATTTTAAATGAACTCTTAAGTTGACTCTTCCTCAGGGACCATAAATGTATAAATGTTTTTCTGAGCACACAATAGAAACATATGAGAGAAAAATAGAATCTTGGTCAGAGTGGGAAAAGAGGGAAGAAAAGGAGTAAATTATAATATTTGATACTGAATAAAAGAGCATTTTGCCTTTTTGAAAATAAAATTTTAGGTATTTTCAGTCTGACTTTTTTTATTCACTCATAAATAATACCTGACAGTTAAGTAATTTCATGTATTTTACTAGACACTCCTACATATTATTGCATTTGATCCTTATATAGCAATCTGGTAAAAACATTTGGTTGGTAATACTAGTTCCCAAATGAGGAAATGGTTGCTTTAAATAGGTTAAATGATTTACTTGAGCATTTGTAGTTTGTAAGGCCCAGATCTCAGAGCCCCAGCTCTGCAGGCAAGATGCCCTGGGGGCAAATTCTGTCTCTACCTTTTCCCTGTATCCCTCAGTTTCCTTATAAGTAAATGGAGTAAATCACGGTATCTATTTGATAGAATTTGGTGACAATTTAAACGAGTTAATCCAAGTAAAGAATTTAGAGTGTTTTTGACACATAATAAGCACTTAATAAATGTTGGGTATGTCATAATTTTTAAAGTATTTATTTTTAGTAATGTATGTTTGTAGCACATAATGATTACACTCACCACGGGGAGTTGTAAGTGTACACAACACATCTTAATTCTTTTCACACCCTCCCCTCTCCCTCCATCTCTCGGCCCCTTCCCATGTAGAGACTTGGGTAAGTATAGTCCCATTTGACCATTTCAGCCAGCTTGTGAATTAGGCAAGGAAAGTTATTACATTATAATTTGTGATTTAAGATTATTTATTATGAAATAATTTACCAAGGTTCAAATAGTTTTTTAAGGTACATGATTTGTGTTTTTTGATCCCAGGTTTAATGCTCCTTTTATGACTGCATTCCAATACAATACAAAATAAGACAATGTATACATTTATTATTCTAAATGTAAAGTTTTGACAAAGTACTTAGAGAATTAATGTTTTTATTTGGTTTGGATAATGAAAACCTATTTTTTGATGAGGGGAAAAAGTTATTTCTTTGAATACTAGTAAAATAACTAGACTTGGGGCTTTGAAGTCTTAATGTGAAGGAATTAGAAATGATTACTAGAATGTTTATATTTTTTGTTTTAAAATGCTTCACAGCTACATCTTCCTCTTCAGTTTCTGCACATTCCCCATCAGTTATTGTGGCTGTGGTAGAAGGGAGAGGACTTGCCAGAGGTGAAATAGGAATGGCAAGTATTGACTTAAAATGCCCACAGATTATACTCTCCCAGTTTGCAGACAACACCACATATGCAAAGGTAAGTATTAATAACCCCAGAATTAGTGTGCAGATTCCCAAGTCACTGCTTCTCTAATTAGTTTACATTTTGGTAGCATAAAAGTTATTCGTGGTTATTCCAATGTAAATAATCTGAATTAAAATAAAACTCTTTTATGTCTCATTTTTATTTTTAAAATATGTTTTATCCTAAAAAGAATGTTTTATTGGTATTAGACTATCCTAAGACCACTGTTAATATTAGCTTCTAAAGTTAATGTCTTCAAGGTAGTAATTTCTAAAATTACTCCACAGATAACATGTGATAATCCTTCCTCCAGAGGGTTGTTTCCACCGAAATTGTATTTGAAATTTATTTTTCAAGATTTAAGGAAACCTAGTTTATTAGATTAGTTATAATTTAATATCTTCTTGCCTTTACTTCTTATTTGCCTTCATTTCATATCACTTGTCATGAATTTGGGCCACTGGCCTATTGTCATGGGAATTTGTATAATCTATCAGATAGAGATAGTCTATTCCTAATCTCTATATTTTAAAAAGTTGACTCAATTATAATTACTTATAAATGGGATCCATTCTTATTTTTAATATTTTATTATTCTTTATTCTCCAATTTCCCTGTATTCCCTGGAAAATAGGCTTCCTTTTTCCTCACTAATAATTAATGTTTAATTATACTTAATCTAAATCAGTGATGGCAAACCTTTTAGAGCTTTCTATGATAACAAACAGCCCGCTGTGGCACATGTGCTGTAGGTTCACCACCACTGACCTAAATGACATTAATGTTGCATACTAACTTCATAACTGAGTGTCTGGGTATTTTACAGTTTTTTATATAATTTGAAAAGAATAGGAAAACTATTTTGCTTTGTTTTGTTGTTAGTGAGACAGATTTTACACAGTCCAAGCTGGCCTTTAACTTAGTATATAGCCTTGACTAGCCTCAGTCTCAAGGTGATCCTCCTGCCTCAGCTTCCTGCATCCTGAGACTGCCCCATGGGATTTTTCTTTTAATAAGGGAGTATTAGACCAACTGATTATGAATTTCCATCTAGAGTAACTCTAACAAGTGCACTTCATTTTGTGAAAAGCATAAGGCAGATATTTTTCATTTGTGTTTCTGCACTTTTCATCTAAACTGTACAAGTATGGACAAACTGATTTTGATTATATTGGCATAGTTACACTATTGGATATGTTCATATTTTTCATACAGAAGGGTAAAATATGGAGCAGAAGAATGCCTTTTAAAATATCTTATTTGGGGAATGTATATTTGATGAGTTTAAATTACTGTTTGAGTTAAAGCCACTACAAACTATAGCCCAATCTGGGTGTAGTGGCACATTCCTGTATCCCAGTGTTCCAGAGGCTGAAGCAGGGGATCATGGTTTTCAGGCCAGCCTGGACTACAATCATGTGTCCAAAAACAAACAAATGAAAAAAGAGAAATCTGTATCTATATATACATATGTAAATGGCTTATGTTTTTGAAAATATGTCATATTTTTATTTATATAGGGATGTACATTTACTATATTCCCATTAGAAATCTATTTTGATTTAAATACATAATTAAGATCAGTATAATTTTGTTATCTATGAATTAATTTTAAATACTTGTCTTTCAGAAAGATGAAACTCTTTGTTTTAGAGACTTAAAAACTTATATTTAAGAAATTGTTTCTTCCAAAAATTGCAGGTGATCACTAAACTCAAAATTTTATCACCTTTGGAAATCATAATGTCAAATACTGCTTGTGTTGTGGGAAATTCAACCAAGTTATTTACTCTTATCACAGAAAATTTCAAGGTAAACAATTTTCATTCTCAATAATAACACTCAAGATTGAATTATTTAAACATATCTTGTAATATTATTAAAAAGAGCAATAATTTGAGTAACTGAACATTTAGAGTCCTAAAGTAGTTAATAAATATAAATCCTAATCTAAGGAACTACTAATGTCAGAACTGATAGAGAATCCATTGGCTTAGTTTGGCCCCGTTGATCTACTTAAAGCAAAAGAAAAAGTATTTTAAGTAATAGTGAGATTTCTCAGATTGTGCAAGGAGCAGATTCTTAGAGAAAGCAGTTTTCCATAGGTGTAGCTTCCTGGAAACTAATTACTGTGATGTCAGACGAGTTGAAATTGAAGTTCTCATCCTTTTAGGGGATAGCAGCTCTCAGCAAGTGCTTTTTCTTCTCGGCAGTTTGATCTGTGTTACAGAATTATTTCGGCTTCCCCTGGTAACATACACTGTCTCACAATTAGCCTGCTGCTGTTGTCTCCATCTTCGAGACTGTGACAAGTGCTGCGGAAGCCTGTCCAACAAATGCTTTGTGCTTCTAAGGGTCTCTCTACCGTGTAGTTAATTTCTTCTCTCCAGCAAATCTCCCTGTTTTGTAGAAAAGGGGGTGTGGTCCAAAACCAAGTAGGCAGCTTTGCAGTTGGAATATTTCCTGAGGTGTGCAGATGATTTTCAGAATATACAATATTTCCTTATGTTGGTAGATTTACTGCTTAACAGAGTTGGAACCAAGCTGAAATTTAGGGTCCGATGAGTTCCTTTTTTGTTTTTAATATATCCTGTACCTCAGTTCTGTAAGATTTGTTATGGGACTCTAAAGTTCCTATGTAGCTCAGCTGTTTTTGTATCATTGACAGAAAGACTCCCTATTCTAAATCTGTTGGCTCTATGACACATGTGTCTTCATCTGCCCCTCCCCACTGCCATGCTGGGACTAGGGACTGAACTCAGGGTTTTCACACTGGCCCACATCCCTACTTTCCCAGCCCTTCCTTCCCTCCCCTGCCCTCCCCTCCCC